TGGTAGTTTTTTATGATTTATGATTTAACAAAATTTAAGTAATATGAGCCGCGTCACGACAAAACGAATTGTCATTTAGAAGCTAACTTTATTGATAAATAGTCGAAATCAAATTTCAGATAAAATATTTGACCCGAAGAATAATAAAGGTATAAATCTTCAGAGTTTTGCATACGTGAAGGTTGCTAAGGATAAAATATATAAAAGAGCGGTTCAGTCTATATATTTTTTAGGCAGAATAATATTTGTCCCATTCATTTTCCAATATCGACTGTTTGTCAATAACCATCATAAAAATCATTCTTTTGAAATACGAAGACAATTTATCTCAATTTGACAAGGAAAAAATAGCATAATGTTACTTTAAATGTGCTGAATTGAAATAAAAAGAATAATGATTAACAAGGTACCGGTTAAATAGCATTCATATTAACATTGAAGTTGAAAGGTTGTATTTCTATATGATGTGAAAACGTAGTTCTTGTCGAATAATTACTTGTGTTCAGTTTTTAGCACATCAAAATTTTGGTATCAAGGTCACATTAAAAATAGTCGAAATTGAATCCTGTATGGCTCCAGATGAGCCAAAATGTTTCAAACTTGAGAAAAAATGTACTAAGCTTTCAAGAAAAGTAAAAATATTCAAGATTAAAGTAATAATTTACATCTTATGTGCGATTAATGATTGATTTTGCAGTATTTATCACCATATTTATTATGCGTGACTAACGCTGTAATAGCTATGTTTGCATATTTTGACCTCTTTTGGTAACTTACGTTAATTTTGAGTGCAATTTGTAAATTACTTTCTTTATTCACTTCACAATATTTTACTTTTAAGTACATGTCGGTGGTTCTACTCAGGTGCCCGTTCGTGCCTGAAATAATGCACGGAAGGGCACCTGAGGTCTTCCTCCACCAGTAAAGCTGGAACGTCGCGATATGACCTATACTGTGTCGATGTGACGTAAAACCCAAAACAAAAAAAAAAAAACATGTGCATTCTCAAAATGTTTATGAAAATCATCATATACATGTGTGGCATTCAGATAAAATGAAAAAAAGGGTCAAGTTTTACGAATTTCGAACATTTGACCTTGAACCAATGTCATGTTTCTCAATATGTTTGTCAATAAAGTTTATCTACCTATAAAAATATGTTGGAATTTATCTTTCTGAAAAATAAAATAAGTAACTGAAGGTCTTTGTTATTTATATCACAATGTTATTTGTTCATTTGTCGAAATCAAATACAAAATAGTGTATCTAATCATTGTAAATGTATTAACAACATGATGTACTTGTATCATTGTTTGAAAAAAAAACTATGTTTAAACTAATCGACATGTATTAGACTCGTAACGAGTTTTGCCAATTTACCGAGTCATTTATCTAATGTTAATCAGTATAATACAAAAAGGCTGTGTTTTCAAACCACTTGTAGTTAAATTATATATACGTTTATCTGTTGTCATCAAAGAAAAGCAATATTGGTAGTTTTTTTAATGATTTATGATTTAACAAAATTTAAGTAATATGAGCCGCGTCACGACAAACCAACATAATGGGTTTGCGACCAGCATGGATTCAGACCAGCCTGCGCATCCGCGCAGTCTGATCAGGATCCATGTTGTTCGCTTACCAACCCTATTACAAGTAGAGAAACTGATAGCGAACAGCATGGATCCTGATCAGACTGCGCGGATGCGCAGGCTGGTCTGGATCCATGCTGGTCGCAAACCCACTATGTTGGTTTTGTCGTGACGCGGCTCATATGCATTTATGCATTACAAATATCCTCCTTGAGTTCACCTATACCTCAGAGGATAACTACATTGATTTAGTAAATTTCTTTGAAATGATTTCATTTAGTATATCCCAAGCAGTGATACAACTATTTCTGCTTCGTCAATCACAAATAAATAATGAGAGTACTGTATTAAATGGTGTACATTACTCAGCGATTCATCGGTTATCATCAAAAAAACATCCACCACTCATTTATGAAACATTTCGCGTAGTCATTGAAACCGAACAGTCGATGAAGGAAGTTGTACAATCGCAACTTTTCGTTCATTTCCGTCCAACTTCGAATTGTTTGTGTGTCGTACTGAAACTTCTATATCAAGTTGTAACAGGTAACAGGTATTTTAAGAATAAAACAACTCGCATTGTTATTTTTATAAGATATTTTTATTGATTAAAGGGTATAAATATTTATTATATACTTATTAATGAAATATTGAGAAATATTGATGAAATAAAATGCGTATTTTCATTTTCCGTATTTTCACTGTAAAAATTTATTTTTCACTGCAGTGAAACATATTTTCCGTATTTTCACTTGTGTCTTGCCGGTCTACTTTCTTTTAAATTCTGCCAGTTCACAAAATTTAAGGGAAATTTTTCAAATTTTAATGTCAAAAAAGAGAAAAAAATGTATATAATAAACAGAAAATTCAAGTTATTTCTATAAATACATGATTTATTTTCATCTTGTGGCATGAAAATTACCATATTTCACTCGTGGCTACCGCCATTCATGAAATATTTATTTTCATACCACTCGATGAAAATAAATCATGTATTTATAGAAAAAACTTGAATATCCTCTATATATATTATGAAATATTTAAAGGGTTTCAACTTTTATCCGTTAAGCAATGTTTTCGTTCAATCACTTTTAAAGTAACATACTTGCATTTTTCCTCATAGAAAAGCAAGGTTTATAATTGTAAGACTAAAGTTTCATAAAAAAATATCCCGCCATTAACTTATTTAGATATTTTTTGTCTTTAATATTATTATAATATATTTTCGCTGATATTTTATGTTTTCACTTTAACTGATTGATATGCACCTAATTTCGTTGAATTTGGACATTTAGATTTTGCTGGCAGTATGACAAGGGAAGTAATCGTACCAAGTGGCTGTTTAAAATTTGATCGAAGTGGTTATCTCCCTTTGACTATTATACTACTATTTCGTGTTCACTGACCGCCAGATAGTAAAATGAAAAAAAAAATGAAATAAAATTTCAAGTAAATGGTAAATACTGATCTAGTTAGGTTTATTGTATAAATCCATCATTACTGACATCTTAATTCAAGAAAGAATGTTGACAAAAGCGTTAATATATTGGGTTTTCTTTTCTATAATCTACTACGTTACTAAACCTTGTGAAAAATGGCCGTTTTCATTGAAAAGCCTCCTGTTACAAGTTCCAACTGCTATAAAACTATGAAAAATGATTCAATACTGATGAAACTTGGCATATATGTAGACTGAACCATAACCTCTGTAACAACATGCTCAATCTTAAATTTCCTGTCACCATGGCAACGGCGGGACGTGTCAAAATTGCGAAAAATTACTTTTTTGCATTGTTTTTTTCATCAAAACTGATTTCAAAGTGCTGCAACCTTATCAATTCATTGAGAAGTTGCAGCACTTTGAAATCAGTTTTGATGAAAAAAACAATGCAAAAAAGTAATTTTTTTCAGAAATCTTCATTCTATTGTAACACTGTTTAAATTCACCACTTTAAAAACTCCTGACAGCTGGTGGGTAGTACATCTTTAATCCTTCCACCAACAAATGAGTTCCTGGAGAATACACAAAAAACAACTTTTAAAGTCATCATATCATATAACACACAAAAACTACACACATGCAATAAGTACTTTTTAATTATGACCAATCTAACTAGAGATGACTTAAATTGGGCCATTTCAAAATTTTAAAGAACTACTTTCTAGACTACAATGGGTTCGGTCTAATTCCGTACCGGGTTGAGACCTTATGGTCTCACCCCGATACGGAATTGAAGTGGCCCAGTTTAAGTTCTCTCTAGTTTGATTGGTCACAATTAAAGTGTATTTATTGTATGTGTGTAGTTTTTGTGCGTTATAGGATGACTTTAAAAGTTGTTTTTTGTGTACTCCTAGGAACTCATTTGTTGGCGGAAGTATTAAAAATGTACTACCCACCAGCAGTCAAGAGTTTTCAAAGTGGTGAATTTAAACAGTGTTTTAACAGAATGAAAATTTCTGAAAAAAGTAGATGGCTAACATGTTATATTTTGGGCCTCATTTGACTTAGATAGTGTTGATGTTTAAAGTTGAAGACAGTATATAATTCACCAGAAACAGTAGAATTGGGAATTAAGCCTCAAATGTGACTGATTTACTATAGCACAAAGAATACGAAAATTCACTAGGCCGACTCCTTATCAATTTTCGTCATTAAGTAGGCCCCTATCACATTTCAAGCTAAAGGTTAAATCGATAAATTGGTCATCATATATATGAAATAATTAATCAATTATAATTTTAGTGCCATGAATTTCTACAAATATAAAAACAAAAGCAGTTATTCGTATCGCTATATGTTTGATAAAATCCCGGGGTTTCGTGCGTTCCGGAGCACAGACTGTACGATCACGTGATACTAGAAAAAAAAACCCGGATGAAAAAAATTCCGTGGTATAATGAAAGAAGGTACATGTATTTCCCGTTGGTGGAAAAGCGAACTGTTTTTCTTCAGAGCAATAATGTTAAAATATGAACATTTTGAAGTGTCATTTCGATTTCTTTCAACTATATAATGTTTTTTAGGGGGGATTTTGAATATTAGCAAGATGACAGTTTTTCTGCTATCTTCTGGAGGTCAGCTGCTTTAAGCTCGGAGTGATTTATGCTACGTTAGGTTCGGTTCTCGTGCTCGTGATACTTTGATGTCTCACAACCGGTATTGTAATGGTTACCGTATTTCACAAGTATTTTTCGAAATTTTCATTTGATATCAATTCATAACTTTATCCCGTAATCTATGCTATTTGGTAACGTATTATATCCGCTTTCTCACAAGAACAGTCTCTAAATGATCACATGTAATATACTAATCATGATAACCGGAAGGTGAACGGTACACAACACTTGACAATTACTGTTGACTGTCATGAAACGCTTACCGGTAATTGTCGTCTGATAAATAATTTGAATAGTCGAACAGGAACATAAAAACAAAATCATTTGATCGGTTAGTTCTCTCAATGTAGTTTCGCTTTTAAAAGCAGAACTATTCATCATTTCAAATAGTTATATTAATACGAAACGGCAACTTTTTATATAATCTTTCTTAATATAAAACAATTTAATAAAAATGCAAATTATCCTGGCGAATTTATTTGTTGCTGCTAGTTTGCTGGTGGTTTTAAGGGGTATGTTACTGTTTTTTATTCAATTTCGTTTGATTCAAATAATATTTCTTAATCAAGTATAGCTTTGTCTTTTACTCAAAGTAAAATTTATTCATGCTTCATTAGAAATAAATGGTTAGAAATGACATGATGATATTATGGTATATCATAATTTGGAGACATTTCTATTGAATATGTGTCAGAGCTCATAAAGGCACTGTCTGTCGGGGATAAAAATGTCTAAATTTGTTGGGGTTTACTTACAATAACGACAGGGAAATGGATAATGATAGAACAATTATATCCGGATGATGTCCGTAAATTGGTTCATTTATTCTAGGGTTTCATATTGTGGCGAAAGGGAAGTGTTTTTATTTTTGCCTATGATACAAAAGAGACACTTGGCAAACTGATTTATACGTGGGGGCTACGCCCCTACAAATCAGCCTCGTGTTTCGATGCTCTTTCTATTACATAAAGAATCCAATGGATACGGTATTCATTAAGTGACTGTGGACGTTCCTTGAGTTTAATACTTTGCTTGGTTTACTTGATTTAGGTTGTCTCGGTCAGACTGGTTTCTGCAATGAAGCACATCGAAAGAATCCGAACACACAAGGTAATATATGTATGTTAAAGAGTTACTATGTTAGTCACATGAAATATGTGTACATATCTTTAAGAATTATGAACATTTTTTAACCAAGGTGTATTATAACTAACTGATAAAACTTCATACATTGACTGTTACCGTCTTAAACTCAACCTTAGCAAGATGTTATACTTTTAATGATTATCTGTTTGCAAATGACATTAATTATACTTTGCGACCAACCTTCGTGATATTTTGGTATCGTGCACACGTTAAAATGTTGAAGAGTCCTGAAATATTTAAGCATAATCGACATATATGTATTTTGTTATTATTTGTAAACGCATTATGTACAGACAGCAGAGGAAAAGGCTTTTTGTATTTATCACGTCTTTTTTAAATGTCCAATCAACACTCATACACATTTCTTGCATATTATCCAAATGCCGTATTGCATTCTCTTTTTATGTGTCTTTTTTGTTTTGATCGATCTGTTATTATCTATTAACATGAAAATAGGAACTCAAATATTAACCAAAGTGACCTCTGTTAACGAACAATCGGACAGACAGAAAAACTTGGTGCTCTATTTGAAATGATCCCTATAGAATGTGACACATTCCATTGAATTCTATTGATAAACAAATTTACTTTTTTTCAGTTATGGAAATATGCACCGACCAAGCATCAAGAAATTCAACTGTCTTAATCGATACGTTCCAAGTCTCAAAATTCCAAGACATAATTTGTGAATGTAACATTACGCCTCCAGGCGTTGATATTGAATTTTACTTTTCATTCTATAATACTAGTATGAGTGTTGCAAAGGGCATGTCGTTTAGAATCCACACACTGGTGCTAAATGAAATAGTAATGAGGGGTGCATTGCATTTGTGGGACGTTACGTCACTTCGGTTCTTTACGTCAGAACAATTTGAAAATGGCGGAGCATGTTTGATTGTCAAAACAGGTAACATGTTAGACCGTACATGTACTTGTAAACCGTTATTTCATATAGTGAACTATACATTTTTATGAGTTTAGGGTAACAGTAGTGAAAATATTAGGTATAGAGTCGGGATAGAGATTTTTCAATACAATTATCATGTCGCCATATTGTAAAACAGAGTCGGCTTGGGTTAAGCTTGGTAAGGTTTTTTTAAGAGCTTGAAGCTTTTAAAAGCATGCTAATATGAAATTTACAGAAACAATATTTCCACACAAAATTATAAAATGTACATTCTGTGAAGCTTTACTATTCCGAAGAATAAAACCACTAACAAGTGTATGTAAACAAACCTATGACAAAAAAGCAAAGGACTTAATTTTCAGTCTTATTGTAAAAATCATGGTTACAATAATCATAGTTAATTATATATTTTTCTTTTTATTTCAAAACATGGATATAAAGAACATGGCCCATTTGATATCAATTGTGCGCAACCGGAGACGAATTCCAGTCAAGATGTTAACAAAGAAACACATGGCTACGACTATTATATAAGTATGAAACTATAGTTTCAATAAAACAGTAAGTTAGTATCGTATCCTTAAGATATGATTTATAACTTTACTTTATGCATATTCTTCAACAAAATAGCCGAGTCCCAGAGGAGGCATAACTCATAAGCATCCCTCTAGACAGACCCGCTGACTACTTGTCATAAAGTGATAAACGTAATGATTGGATCAGTACATATGTTGCCGTCTGAACATACATATATGTACATAAAAAGGAAATATATCTAGCAAAAAATGGCATACAATTAGTTTGTCGCGGTAAATTGTAGTATTATTTGGTAAACATTTTTTATTAACTATCACCAATTGTTTTATTCTTAAACTTGGTACAGATGTTCATGATTGCGAGGCTTTGTTTCGCGCTCATAATTAAGGTTTCTGTGGCCAAAATCAGTCACATAAAAATGTGTTTATAGACAATTTTTAGGTATTGTTATAAAAATGTTCTGTCATGAGACTGAGTCTTGACAGCATAGTTTAGGTCAATATATGCAAGGCCAAGTTCACCAGACGACCTTACCTAGCTCCGATATATACCGCGGTAATTTGCGTACCATGGTAAATTTTAACCACCATTTATACAATTTGCTGCAGGAATTAAATTACGGAAACATAGAGTATATATTTTAGCTTAGAGTTATCTTAGTCTGCCTCTTTGAACTAACATTAAGTTTACATGGCTGTGTCTCTAGAACTGCTCGAACTTTCGATTCTTGTGATGTGAGGCAGACAACTTAACCATTAGGCCGCCGCTCCCCGACGTTGTTTGATTCTAGAAATATCAACATTCTCATAATAGTTTTTATTTTATGAATGCATATTATATACATTTTTTACAATTTTGTGTAACATTTGTTTTTGTTTTATTTTACAGTCTCATCTATTGTAGCATCTGTTTGCATTGGTTGTTTATTAATTGTCATACCTCTTGGTATTTTCTGCAAAAGGTAAGGGAAACAACTCTTTTGATAAATATAAAAAACACACACACACAAAAACTTCTATATGAGTTTTTATTTTATGGCTTATTATTACTTTTTCACATATATTACATGTATATCTAAGGTAATGCATCCCACTTAACGTACGTTAGTTTGTCTATATTGTTTTATTTGAAGCCACACCAACATCTGTTCTTTAAAGATCGTATGACGGTGGAGTTATCTTTTCAGACAGGAACGTGCACCATAAACCAGTATACACCTTAATTAAGTTAGAGTGCACATTTACTGACCGTCTGTACGCTTGTTCGGTAGTTGTTTCAGGGATTTTAAACCACATGCAGTGGCGATGGACGCGATATTAGCTAGTTTAATAGCCCATTCAGACTTCACGTTTTCAATATATGTATAAAATATTCGATTCGATATGATATACAAATGCAGGAAAGGGCAGCGAAGCAAATTTTTATTCTTATTATTGATACACAAAACATAATTTGACAAATAATTTTTATAATTCAATTATATTTCCCTAAAGTAAATAAAAGAAAATATTGTGCTGAAGTATGATTGATATGAATTAGTAATTTACACTCTACTAATGAACGATTTTACCGTTTTGCAAATATAATTGATAATGCTATTGCTTTCCTTGTAGAAAATATAGAAGTAAAGATTTACAATCCGGCAATTTAAAGACACAAGGACTTCATGGGGAGCAAGGAGACGATCACGATGCAGACAATCCAGTCTTTGATATTAGTGGAACACAGTCACGTGGTAATAGCACTGCGCATGACTACAACTACATTGATCATTATCATTTTTGCGGGAATCAGTACAACCACCTTTCTGAACAACAATACGATTGTACTCGTACAGTAAACCAAAATAACAATTCGAATAAAGGTATTAAAAGTGTCGATGATAGCTTGTATAACACTATAAATGCCAATGAAGGTCAACTAAACCAAGATGCAGACGACTATCATCATCTGGGCTCGGTAAATGTAAGGAAAGCTAATATCGCGGATAAATACAATACAGTAGATGTTACTGGTCAAAGAATAAAAAATGGAACTACTTTTCGTAACCAGTGATAAGATCGTTTACTTAAAAGGTGGAATACTTTTTCGTTCGAAAAGCTTATAATGATTTGCGTGTTTTGTTTGATTGATGAACAGTGCACATGTATATGTAAAATGTACTCACAAGTTCTGTGTTTGAATGACATAGAGTGTAGTTCTATCAAAGAAAAATAATGTAATAATGGCGATTTGTACCAGATAAAATTTGGTTTTTCAAAATCCTCCCACTGGTTACGTCACATTCTATTTTACCACTGTCATTATACTATTTCTAACGTCACGAAAGGCATATCCTATGGTCAAAAATGGCGGCCTGTTATAGTTAAAAAATCCTTTCGTTTATTTTTCAAATATTTTTTTTTCATATTTATTTTTTAACTATTTGTATATTAAGCTAAATAATTAAATGAAAGAAAAAAAAGTGATATAATGTATTAGATAACAATAAATTTAAGTTAAAAATAAAACTGTAAAAATATACTCGGCTCTCTGGCGTCCAAGTTAGTGTTATCTTAACGTCAAGCTGCCGTGCTGTTCTACAGAAATTAGAAACTTTGACGGGAGCGATAGCGACAGGAGGATGTTTCTAATTTCTGTAGAACAGCTACGGATGAATACTAACATATTTAGTGTCAAACTTTATTTGGCCTCATAATCACTCACTTTATTACGTCACTGTGCCGTTCCTATGAAGTACTATTTAAAATAGAAGTCGACTATGAACGGAATTCGATATAGTATCGACTTTTGTTCTTCTATGAAAATTAATGCACAGAATTTTTAAGAAATACAGCGTTTTCATTGAATGACAAATAAAGTTGGACACTAAATCAAATTGAAGCAGTCTATAATCTGAACAGTCTATAATCATTCTGACAGGGGTCAGAAAGACCTTATAACTACATTAACATCAGGTTTAAAAGGGGCGGATGAGGATTAATTAAGCCTTTCAATTACAGTAAGTATTTTACATAGACTTTTTCCACAGGAAAAAAATTACTAAAAATTTTGAAACATAAAAATGCATAGAATATGTTTTGAAGGAAGTGTTATTAAATTATAGCTATGTTCTATGAATATATCACCAGATGTCGATCATAAATGACGTTAAAAATCATACTACTATATCATGCGCAGCAGAAGGACCTTTTTATACACAATTCATCGTCATCATAATTTAACACCCATGAAATCACTCGATATCAATCATTTCCGGCTAATGAGATTGTGTGACAGATGTGATGTAATTGATAGCTATTTAATAACCCACAATTTTCAAACCTATTCTGTTTTGATATCGAAATATTTATATATACCATATAGTCCCACTTAACCTCGGCCTTTGCTGACGATGAAGGTTGCGTTTCCTATTTTCCATGGTCGCTTTATCATTAATCAAGAACAGAAAACTCCATAAATAATGTCAATATTATATCTGTCGTTAAACACACACGCACGCACGCACTAATGTTTTTTTTCTAACAGTGTTAGGTACTAGTTCTTTGTTTAACTGACATCAACTCTAACCGTTACCCTTACCTTAGACTTACCCTTAAGCGTTCAAAAACTAAACATAATGTCCATACAGTCTTCGGCTCATAAACCTAATATGACTAGAAGGAAGGTTAAGTTCTGAGGTAGCACTTTTTCTACCTCACAATGTCAGTTAATAAACCTTACTTTGTACCTCACCTGGTAGATAAACACACGCACACACACACTTTGAGAGTGTGAAATTACAGTTTAATAAAATTAAATATATGAATATCATGTATGTACTTTTATAAAATAAAATACCAAATAAGAAAGTACTATTCGAATAAGTGAAATAAAACATTTGCGTTGTCAGAAACAATCCGAAATCAAGACGACAATCATTTTCATTGATTTCATATATACCGCCACAGCATGTACAAGAAGGTACAATGCGCCTTTTAAAAAAATCTAGACGGAAAAGTAAACATTGTATGCAATATTTGTTTTAAGAGTGATACTTAGCCACAAAAATACCAGATGACTTCAAAGGACCGTTCAAAGCCATCTTAATCCCCAGCGTCGAAAAGAGTCCATAAATCATGGTTCATTCCAGAGTCAAATAAAGGTATTAGTATATTGCAAAATTAAATGCTAAAAAACACACTTCCTTTAAAGGCACATTATTCCTTAGAAAAAAAATGAACTTTTACTTCTGTACAGAAAGAACAAACGTGGTTTTTTATCTTCTAAATAATGGATTTAGAGCATGTTACACGAGGAAAGAAGCGCTAAATGTGAAATTATTTGTCATAAAAGTAGCAAAATGTAAACAAAGTAGTAATTTGTCTTCTATACAAAAAACTACACCACTATAACCATACTGAATGCCAAAATGCAACAGAAAAAAAGATGTACAGGTAATATTGGCCAATTAGTAACTTTTTTGGAAACTATGAAAGTACACAAAAAATAAAAAGCTTTTGTGAAATAAATATAAAATGTAACATCATGGATATGGCCTCTAGCTTCTATCAGAACATCATGACAAACACACTGCTCCCTCCAAGCTGCTGCATACAGAATGAATGACACATGATAATTAATGTGATAACGTGATAATTATCAGAGAACAGTGTATTATAATACAGGTAATCTGTATATATATACGACATAATCAAAGTTAGAATAAGCAAATACACACAGGGAGACTTATTTCCTCATCAAACCCGGTATGTTCAAGTTATATTTACATATTTCTCCAAATTTTATAAAAATCACCGTAAATTTTCTTTTAATAATTATATTTGAATTGAAATGGTTAATATTACATTAAATTTAAAAAGTCTCGTTCTTAAATTGTATATAAACAAAATTAAAACACAACATCGACAAAGTTTGATTGTTATATTTTCAGATTTATTTTTACAAGAATGGTTTACAAAATATACTTCGCTGCGTTCCTTCTTGGAACTGCGTTCATCATGTCACTTATTCAAGGTTCAGACGCGGGTGTGCGAACAAATGAAGGTCCGGGTTCAGCTGGTAAGTATTTCATAGTGTTCTGGTGATTACACTGATGATGTCACAAAGTCCAGCTGATATATTATGTTTTACTCCTGGTGTTTTATATCCTGTGTTAGAATACATATTAGCTAAATTTTACTATGTATAAAGGACGTTATTGTTTATGTACATGGCGTTCATTTTCAGGACAGAATTGAGGTTATTCAATGTATAATTGCATGTTTTGTTTAAACAATAACTTTTGCTAATCGCGTAAATAATGTTCCGATGTAAGTCACATATCCACGAAAAATACTTGAAAACAAAAACATTCATACTTCGTATTTATATTAGGAGTGTTGAACGTTGATTTCTATATACTAGTATAACATTTGAAGCATTGCGTTAAGTATTTCTTTTTTGTTTATAGCTAAATGCTTAATTTCAAAGTTGATAATCATAATATCTTTTCAAACTTAAATGTTGCTATACATGAATAATATTTACATCGTACAGTTTAGAAATGTATTTTTTTCTAAGTGGTTGGAAAATTAAAATAAATCTATAAAGCATCTATTTACTTTATTTACTTTAAGGCTATTCCCTTCTTTTACAGTCGTCATATGATATTTTTTGAAATGCATACATTGCTAAAGAATCATTGGGGCTAAATGGGGAGAGTGGTCGTTATTCTTGAGAAGAAAAATAATAGTTTATCTTTCTATACATACTGATATTAAAAATAGTAGAGCAAGGATATAGCAAGGACATTATTTTCCTTTTGTACGTTATGGCAATAAGGGATAGATCATATTTTTCTAAAATAAGGACTTGATTTCGCAATGTTTCATCCAAAAGGTAATACATTGTGGGATAAATTGATATACACATACGCGTGCAATATATTTGGTAAGCACGAACATTAACATTTCTAGTTATTTCATATTTATAAATATAAGTAATTAAACTGCACATTGTTTACAGTTATATACAAGACATAAATATCATACATTGCATATTCACATGTGACAATACATTGCGGTCGGTAAGAACATTATTATTACCATTTCTACATACAGAAATAAGCTAAAAAGGAACCATTAAACAAGACACAAGCAGCAGAAAAAAAGTAATAATATTGTCAGAGTTATCAACAGAACTCAACAACATTTTTAAACTGTATTTTAGGACGAAGATAAACATGGACTCATAGGTTACTGTTTTCACTAAAATATCTTTGTTTCTGAGAAGTAAAACTGATAATTTAAATTATTTTTAGCAGTATAGGAAGTATTTTGCAATCTCAGTCATCACACTTTAGTTTAATATATCAAATTGTGAAGGGGCCATGAGCATTATGATTTGTTAATGACAAGTACGATTTTTCTTGACATGTTGAAGTTAGAGAACGCAAAAGGGAACTGCTAACTTTGCAATGTTGTTGTAAACCTGCATTGTGGCTGTAATCGAAAAACAAATCAATGGCAACATTTCTTTTAGTTATAAAGCTGCTATTTGGTCTTGAGACATGGTCTTGTCACACTAGGGATCCTTGTTTCGCAATCGAGCTTAATTGTTTAAACTAACTCTGAATACAGCTCCGCATCAATTAATGAAGCAACGAATAGAGAGATTCTCGAGGTATACTATACAGCAACAACTACGAATAATGCACCCCTTAATGCTCTATTCGAAAGTATCGCTAAAGGATGTGACAAGGCATTCTTCAAACTATTAAAGGACCTTCATCTTTTATTGAGATATAGAATAACCATTTATCTTTTTGTTTATACATTATCAGGAGTAATTAACCGAAAAACAAATTTTATAATTTTTCGTGACTTCTATGTTTAACATCATGAATGAATGCAAAGTATAATTAAACACATTTTTAATTGGCAGAGCCACCATGTACAGTCGGCGGTACGGTCAATCAACCATATGATTCAACATGGGTAGATTCGTCAGGAAGAACTTGCAAATGTTTTGCACATGGAAGATCTAATTGTGACTCAGCGGATGACAACTAGAGGTAAATACGGTAATAATTTATTGATATTTATTTACATTTTATTTACAGGATTAGATAGGAAGGTGGGGACATTTACTTTTCGCTTTGCAACTATTTAAAACAAGCAATATATGACGGGGCACTAGTTGAAAAGAATTGTTCTTCTTAAAGTCTTTCATTTTATGTATTTAGTCCATATATATTAGGAGCCAGATTATGTACAGAGTGAAACATGTTTGTAGCCATCAAATCAAAGTAAAATGTACAAGTTATTGTACATAATTTTTTTTTACTGAATTACTAAAGCAATTTGATAATTGTATTATTGTATTTCATCTTGAATTTCGTATTTCCTTATCAAATGTATAATTGATTGTTACTAGTATTTTAACTGTTCAGCCATTTTTTCTGCTTGATGGCCTGGATAACATTTCTCTCGACTCTATTGGCCATATGGCTATTTTTTTTTATTCTCAAGTTAATAAAAATATAACTTCTTTTTTGTCTTTTCATTTTAGGTGATGAATGTAAATAGCTTTCGTGATAAAAATGAAAAACTGATGCTCTGATCTTTCTCCCGAAGTCGATTTTGTGTCATTAAAATCCAAATACAATATGGTTGTTCGTTTAAGTTGTCATGTAAATATAGACTTTAAAATAATATCAGACACATGTCGGTACTTGGTTAATACCACAGATCTCCAAATAATGTATCTGGCTTACTTCTTGGTATAATAATATATCGTTATAATTGCATGTATAATATTAATCCTTCACCTTTCTGTCGAAATTTTGACACAAAACACAGTAAAGCAGGTAAGACCTCCTGTTATCAGTATAATGAAAAACAAACAAAAACGACACGTGATTTATTTCTATATTTTATTGTATTTAACTATAGGAATCATCATTTCCAACATTATACATGTGTTTACTCAAATGACTGTAAAAGTATCATTTAAAAAGAAGAAGAAAGCATAACAAATATACAATCTAATCAATGCTCTTCAATGACGCTACACTAAGTCATAAGCAGGTCAGAACTTTAGTCATAACTATATACATATATTCTCTTACCTAAGCTAAAAACGTTATTAACTTATTAATCAATATTAAAGCTATATGCCTCCAAATTAGCCAAAAAACATCAAACTTTAGAAATAAATATTGAAATTTTAAGAAAAGTAAAATGGTTCAAGATAAAAGACATAATGTCTATGTAGTTTGCGATTTATGGCCGATTTTGCAGTATGTTTTCACCATATTTCTAAGCGCTATTTTTGCATTTTTGACCTCTTTTTGGTAATTTACATGGATTGTAAGTGCTGTTTGTTATGTGAAAATTATGTTCTTTGTTCATTTGACAATATTTCACCTTTAAAAACATTTTCAAAATTTTGGCTAAAATCAGCATGAATCTGGAGGCATGCTGCTGTAAGATTTGTGTCATCTCCAAAATTAGCGGATATGCGAACTTTTAAAAACGAATGCATTCACCGGCATCTAAGGAAGTAACAGCTAAAATTTTGTTTAAAATTATTTCTCATTCCGACCCATTTTTTACACTGGATATTTTGTTTTAACATACTATTATAATTATAAAGAACATATTAATTATACATTGAATATTTTGCATTTTTAAAATAGTAAAACTTCAATTATATATAAGATATTTGACATCAAATAGTGATTAAACAGCGGGTGGTTACATTTCAAGGGACACTTCTTTATCTATGGCGTCACAGATTTGAAGCTGGAGGCATTTCTCGAGTTTACGGGTGCTTTATTCAGAACTACAGGACTTTCTCTACAAATCAATCCAGATTTCAAACAAGTATATGTAAATTAAAAGCTATTGGTGGTGCATTTCACGAGAGTTGAGACATATAAAATAAGTGTCAACATTTAAACCTTAAATTACAGCCTTACTCAGGACACGATTTCATTTTCCTCATATGGTACCAGTACTGGTAAGTTGCAGGAAAACAAAAACTCGAACTTGATCAATGTAAGTTATAAAACTATAACAATCAAAAACAGACGAGATACTGAACGTTTGATTGATTTTATATACAGAACAATAAAAAATTACAGGCCTATTTCAAATAAACGTTTGACAATGAGACAATTAATAAAAAAATCGTGAATAGATTAGTTAACGTTATATAGTGTAAGGAGCTTGTACGGTCTAGGCATTCTAAAGCTATAGCGGTCAAAATTTTTCTCGATGCACCTTCTATTAAGTCCAACTATTTGGATATTGAAATCGAAAAGAAGGAAAAAACACCCGGAAAATTCGACCTAAATGTACATCTTCATTAATACAGATGAAGTAGAAAATAAGGTAGCCCTCTTCTTATAGGCTGACTAGTCAGAATAAAAAAGCGATTGGTAGCAATTTTTAATGTCATATTGTAATAAGTACGTATTTTGACAATTGGTAGTGAAAAAATGAGTTTAGCACTAATCTTTTATGTTAGCAGTCAATTGTTACCACGGTAACCATGGTTCCTATACCTTAAAATGGCCAACAACAGCCGGGGGAATGAGCATCGTTAGAACATGGTTAGAAAGTTTCTTTTTTAGATGAAGGATAACTGACTACATTTGTATTTGTTTTAAAACGATATTTACTTAGTCTATTTTCCGTGTCGGACGGCCATTTAAGTTTCCGGAAGAGGACGGGTAAGTTGCATACACAGCCAGAAGACTTAGTTACATTTTGCTCTTTGCTACTTTAAACCATGATACCATCAGTATGACGATTTCTTACTTGGTTTATGCATTCAATGTTAACTCTTCTTTACAGTCATTTAACTTTATTTACGTGCAAATTTCTCTTTTTATCACATGAATGTTTTGTTTGAGACAAAACTCATTTTACAGTTGAAAGGAGTTATTTTAGGTATTACAAATATCAAAATTAACGTTATTTATACATACAAATAACATTGTAATTATTAGCCTATCGAAAGCACCGTCACCAAAATAAAGAAACGTGCACAGTCACTATTTACATATAGATGGACACACCGTAATACATACTTCATAAGTTTATATTATTAGTTATAAAGATCGTTGACAGGTTATATGGCCCTATATAAACGGCTATTTGTAAATATAACCCGAGCCGTCAGGCGAGGGTTATATTGCAAACAGCCGTTTATATACGGCCATATAACCTTACAACAATCTTTATAACGAATTTATAATACAGCAAGCTTCATTTTTAGAGAAAAAGTATGATTTCTTAGCCGTGTATATAAAACTATATAAACGTCACGATTATCCAATGAAAATTGACGTTACAAACGTGCAGTATTATAAAGTTTTTTATGTACAAAACAAACCGCCAAACAATTTAAATATAGATTATTATGCGCGTAGTGCCACACACAAGAAATGAAAATCATTATGAGCACATAAGCTAAATATGGTCTTAACGCGCACATTGTCACATGTTCTAAATATAGATCATTATGCGCATACACATACAATCTGAATATAGATTATTACATTGATTATTACGTGCACACTATCACATATGTGCGCTTCAATACAATTTTAATATAACTGTACAATATTTAATATTACTGTACTTTGTCACTTAATCTTAACATTAATTATTTTAACCAACATCTACAAATGTATTAGCATATTGTCTTTAATGACTTGCTTCTTCTTCATCTATAGAGTTTTCTTTTGGTTTCTCGAAAGTAAGTCTTTTAGATTTTTCCTTTTCGAGCAGTTGAACCCTTCTTAGTGCGTCACTGACTATACACAGTTCACCTTTCACCTCGCTAACTAGGTAACCAATACACCGTGTGTTGTCAAGCACATCCACACTCTGGGTGTACGGGTTGAACCGTATTGCAAACGGACGTTTGATAGTGCTTGCAAAATTTCTGAAATATTGAAGGAAAATTGTTTTCGGAACTGATATGAAAACATTTAAAAAAAAAAAATAAATAAAATTCGTCGTTATATCAGTACTAATATTATTCTCAACACGTGCTATATGTTTGACGTCATCCTACAGAGGCTACGCCAATGACGCCATTCATTATTCTAAAAGGTATGAGTAAACAATTTCTTGGACTTACGCCGCACAAACACAGTACTAGTCTTATGGCGACTTTCAAGCTTTACTGGTTTAGGAAGACCTTAAGTATCCTTCCGTACATTATTTCAGGCAGGAACTGACATCTGAGTAGAACGTAAGCTATCTGGATAGCTCCCTCAAATGAAGGAATGCAAAGTACTGTCGTCGGGATTTGAACCAGCGATTAGGGGGAAGTGGTTTGAAGTCAATGACCATAACCACTCGCCGATGGACGTCCCTTACTAAAATTCATCAATGAATTTTTTTTTCATAACTAAAAGATCGCCTTCAATCAATACTTTTAATTACTTTGATTAAAAAGTTACGTCAGTACTTTGGTTAAAAGTTGCATCTCAAATACAAACCTCATTTGCTCTTTGGCCTCCTCAAAACTTTCCGCATAAAAGTAGACGTCTTGGAAAGTTGTAACTAAGCACTCTTGTTGACACGTTGTGATGGGGTCAAACGGCTTCTTCATAGCTCTGTCTGTCAGCGCGTGCTAAATGTGAACAAAAGATAATTTATAAACACGTACCTTATGCAGCTATAATTTATGGGCCTGGCGTTACGTTTAGTTTTACCAGATTCTATAGTATGAACAAAACCGTTGCCTAAATTATATTTAACAGGATAAAGATTAAGAAAACAACAGTATTTTAAACCAGAAATGTTGATCAATCAAACCTAAAAATACCTTTATTGACAATAACAGAATATGAGTCAAAAACAGCAACGTGACTCACGTTAAAAGCAAAGTTCATGACAAAGATCTGATTAACACGATTGTTAGCGGTTTGCATGTAATGACGTCTTCTTTTTGTAATTTAATGCACTACAGCAATATCTCTTTGAAATGTTTGTTCCAAAAACCGCAGTGTTTAGTAACTTAAAATTGTACAGCTTTAGATGAGCAAAAATGATTTTAGAAAATTATATACGGCAATTTTTAGAAATGAATAAAACTTTTTAATTCAGTTAAGCTTTGCATGCTCATTGTTGCGGACAACATACAGCATTTTTCTATAAAAAAAACTATATTTATTCAGGATATTTTCTTCTCTATCTCATTACTGTCGGAGTTACGACTATTTTTACATATTTTGAAACATTTTATGCAATCTGTGTGGCATGCATGTGTCGAACATTTGATCAAATTACTTGTTGTTCATCTTAAAATATTTACACCTTTTTACAGAGGATATGTGAACTTGGGAGGTGATTGTGGGGGATGTGGGAAGAAAAAAGCGCAAGAAAAGAAGGAAAAGAAAGCACTCCTAAACATTGTCTTGAATTAACATGTATGAGCATCTACGCTGATTTAACATATCTATAAAATCTTGCACTTTTATCATAAAAGCTTAAGGTGTTCTTTTTACTTTTATCGTTAATGTGTCATAATTTTAAAGTGAGTTTTTTTTTACCAAAACGTTTGATTTTCCATTGTAACTATTAATTAGTACTTTTGATGTTAAACCTGCAATACTACAATACATTGTACGCAATGCGTGAGACAGAATCCATACCTTCAGTTCGCTGATAGAAGATAAAAGACCGGCTCCGTATACCCTTAGCTCCCCGTCCTGTTTACAGAGACCAAATTCCACAGAGAAGAAATAGCACTGGAAGTAGGAAATAAAAAATGTATGCAAAAGCCAATACAACTATGCTCATTGTAGATATTGCTAAAACTACACTTATTTACATCATTTTATTCCATTTCTTTTTTTTTATTTTACTTGTATGACTGTATACTAGTAATCTTGTTCTTCACTAAAAAGCAACATCAGAAAAAAATCCCTACCAGCAACAACACATATTTATGTGCTAATATACTTCAAGAAAAAATAGCACTGCATTTGCAGAAAATGAATCACAAAACAGACTTCAAAATATCAATCTCCAATCCTAACAGAAAACAGGATAAATCAAATAAATGTAAAATGATTACTTCAAGTTAAGTCGTTTACATCCTAAATGCAATCAATTTTATTGCTTATTATGTCATTATATCTGAATTCAACTGGAAGCTTTTGGTCTTCCCGATTTATCTAACGTTGTTATATGAGCCGCGTCATGACAAAACCAACATAATGGGTTTGCGACCAGCATGGATCCAGACCAGCCTGCGCATCCGCGCAGTCTGATTAGGATTCATGCTGTTCGCTATCAGTTTCTCTGCTTGCATGGATCCTGATCAGACTGCGCGGATGCGCAGGCTGGTCTGGATCCATGCTGGTCGCAAACCCATTATGTTGGTATTGTCATGGCACGGCTCATATTCATTATAAAACAAGGGACATACCGTTGCAAGCTTTGCTACTTCGTCATCAGACGCTCCGAGAGACGCTAGACCTATCTCGTGTGAAAATTGGGCAAAACTTGGATCAGCAAACAACGGAACGTGTCCCATCAGCTCGTGGCAACAGTCTCTGAAGTCAAAAGCAACAACAATGACAGTAAGACAAAGGATTCCGTTAAATAATATTTTAGTTCATAATAAAATCTAAAATGTTGCATTTGATGTTCATGAAAAAGGAAGATGTCGAAACAATTTGATAAATATATGCTTCAAACATTTCAATAAAAGAAACAATATAGTTCATAATCTCCGTTTTTTTTATTTTCGCTTTTTAACACCGCATGTAATGTGAAATGTTCAGCATTGAAAAATTACGGAATTTAGTTATGGATGTATTTTTTTTGTTCTTTTTTTTTAAAGAAGGTTTATAAATGATATTTACAATAAAATGAACAGTGTAACTAAGGGGGTTAGCTATGAGAATGAAGTTCTTACGGTTCTGGTGTGTACAAGGGGTCAGACTGATGTCGTATGTATTGTGTACAGTGAAACACACGGAACGCTAAGCCAGCAAGGAAGTCACGTGACGATAGGTAACCAGCCACAGGTCTCAGGGTGAACCCCGTTTGTGCTGTAAATCATAAAAAAATGAAATGCTTGCAAAACAAAAACAGCTTTCTGAATATTTTTCGATGTTTTATCCACATTCTATATTAATATACATTATTATGTAAGCACAAAACACATCTCTCTATTCACAGTTACATTTTTTCTCGGTGCTTGTATAATAAATGCACGATTCTTTCAGGTACACCGAAAGACAATGGTGTGACGATGATTTCCATCGTTTCAAGTTTGTTTTTGTACGTGTATGTGAGCCATACAACAATAGCACGAGAGTTGATGATGAATTGACAGGTCTTATGTTTTTTTATTTGGCAAACTAATTTGTTTGAGAAATATAATATTTTATGTATTCAAAAATGGAGAAAGTTTAGGGGAAATGCTCCCAAAAATTCATTCATCGATTATTCTTCTTTCCGATAGCGTATGTTCTTCTGTTGCAAACGCAAGAAACATATCTGTTCCGTCTTGAAGAATATTAATAGCAAATGTCCTAGGACTTACATCGTTATCCGGGGGCTTAGTTGGCAATAAAAGTAATATCGTTGACAAATCGTCTCTGTTAGCAACGAGTATGATAATGACCATGTATTTGAAATGTGTCTATAAGCGTTTTGTTTTACATAAGAATCACCCATGTGGTGTCTTTGACGACGTAACAATTTGACCGCGCGTGCGCTAAAATCATTATTTTCTATTGATTGAGTTTAACACGCGTCTTTATTCTCAAACAAACAGACCTGGTAACTAAACAAATAATCAACTTAATTAAGTCAAATTGGGAAAAAGTGAGGATTTGCAAACAATAGACGCTTTATCTCCCGGTTTAATTGTCGTCTGCAAATAAAAGATGGCATCATCTGACATTATCTAATGATATATCGATTTGTATGACATTACATCCGTGATAAGCGACTACGTTACCAAATTATAATGTAAAAAGAGAAATATTATTCAAATCAACGGATCAACAGAGTTATTAAGATATTTGCGTCAGTTATTTCTGAATATTAATATTGGACGGAATTCAAGATTATATACACCCACTCTAACCAAAGTAGAATTTGATAAACAAGAGTCTCATCTATTTCTATTGCATATTCGGCGTTTTCATCTTGCAAATTCTAATTCCGTGTATCAACAACCTCATATTATATTTACAAATAATAATGATTCCAGTGACGTCAAGAAATCAGAATTGATATCACATTCATTGTAACACGTTCGTTACAACATTCGTAGTCTCTGCACGCGCTAATGATTAAAGTGTGCATTTATAGTCTGTAAACATAACTGTTTAAACTATCAAGTTAACTTGTTGTTTAAAGCATGAACAAGTTAAAGAAGAATGAAGAAAAATGCACTGTTATGCCGTATGTAGCACTGACCCTCCTAATATACAGCTCCACGCGACTTCACCTATAAAGATGATTGCAACTTACTGTATAGAGCGTCCAAACAAAAATACTTTATCATTTCTGAATTAAATTTACATGACATTTTTTCTGTTAGAAATAGGACGAATTTTTTTTTTCAAATATGGAAGAGTAAGAATAGATATTTGAGGTTTCTAATGAAACTTTAATTAAAATGCACTTGTGCTATTTATATGTTTTGGCAGAGCCAATGTATTTAATGTTCTGTTACCAAGATAATCCATAATTTTCAGAGCGTTTAAACTTTGTACATTTAGCCTTTGTTTGTTACATACATTAGTAGGATATACACTATCTATAGGTTTATTTTTATACATGTACTTCAGTATTTAAAAATGAAGAAAATTCGAATTTCAAGGCAGAACATGGCCGTGCATAATTCATTACGGTAAAAGCTAATTTAACACAACAACAATTTATTTAATCAAAGTATAAATACCTTTTAAGAATTCAGAAATGTCTTGAAGCTGTGGGATATTATCTTCTCTGAAAAGTATATATGAGCCGTGTCATGACAAAACCAACATAATGGGTTTGCGACCAGCATGGATCCAGACCAGCCTGCGCAGCCGCGCAGTCTGATCAGGATCCATGCTGTTCGCTGTCAGTTTCTCTACTTATAATAGGGTTTGTAAGCGAACAGCATGAATCCTGATCAGACTGCGCGGATGCGCAGGCTGGTCTGGATCCATGCTGGTCGCAAACCCATTATGTTGGTTTTGTCATGACGTGGCTCATACAAATAAATAAAACTTCTATTTATGAAAAGTTCATGAAATTATCACCTTGAATGAATCAAAATTTAAGAACATTATATTTTTACAATATCGAAATATTGTGTAAATTTAAAATGGTGAAAAATGGTATTTTCAAATTGTAGTGTAAATGTATATATGATAAAGTAAATGCAATCCAGAAATAAAATATAATAGAATAGAATGAAATGGAATTGAATAGAGAAAAATAGAATAGAAAAGAATAAAAATAGAAATAGAAATGGAACAAAACAGGGTAAAACAGTGTGTAATAGATAAGAACAAAAAGATAGGACATAACATAACATGGCAGAACAGAACAGAACTGAACAAACATGATAGATCGCCATTACAAACCGTTCCTATATCTATTATAAAACAAAGAAAGTGCATCATTTATTGTAAACATCGTATTTCCTTCGTGTATACCCAATCAAAGATTAAGTCACGAACATTTATAATTGTCTTAAAACTGCTAAATGAAGGCATCAACTTGATAACTTCTTAGTCACGAAGATCCGGACTACGTGACTACATTTATTTTAAAACAACACTTTTTATAGGAAATGACGATAAGTAGTACATGTCAACAACAAGTTATGCTAGTGTTTATAGAAAATTAGGAAGGTAGTCAGTATCTATTATATTTCTCGTTCAACTGGAATTATCAAAATTTTGGCAAATTTCTAATAAATTTTGATTGATTGAATTAGCAATGTATAAGGTACTTTAAAGAAAGTTTAGGAATAAGAAACGCTATCTTAAAACTTATTTGATAATCCTAGTTAAAAATATTCTCTTTTACCAGGTTCCGCATCTTGTATATTTTGTGTGGCATATAAAATATTGTATATCTAACTTTTTGCATGGCGGTGTTCTATGCACAAGTCTAAAATGAAATATCTGTCATGTTCTTTAATTTTTATGACAATAACAGTTAAAGTTAAATTTATCAATTGAAGAAGGTCTATTTTGATTTGTCATTAAACATACATAAACTAGTAAAAAAGAGAAAGATGACTAAATGTGATAAATACTTAGACACGACAGACGGACAATAACTTATTTGTTCCCTTGTTGAATCATCACGAAAATTTAAAAACAATCACGTCACATGTTTGTGAGTGAATTATTAATAACCAACATATGCTGGTAAAATAGTAAACATAAGGTTTGAACAAAATATTTATGAAAGTCCGTATATATCCGATTAACTTTCCGTATCTATTAATTAAGCGTTAAGTGGAAAGGACTAATTTCTTGATTCTGGTCTTGTCAGGGCTTTTCTCTTTCCTTCTGAAAAACGGATATTGTCGAAATATGCCGATTTTCCTAACAATGAACGTATTCCCGGAGAGCCATGGCCATAGCGTATAAAACATGTCCCATGGAATTAACATGTGCTTGCAATCTCAAGACAGTGTACACATAGCATTGTCTATACTTGCAAGATTATCAGGTCAACTTAGTTTAATTGCAAGTCACCATTTTTATTTTAAAATCATTTACCTATATCCGCAAAATTCCTTTAACAATGGCCAACTTCTTAGGTATTCTCTGCACGCGTGCGTCGGATACAGCTTTGTAAGTTCCCGAAATACCGTTCCCCTGAAATAGTAATTGTGCTTGTGCAATGCATTTCTTTTTTCAAAATATATCGCTTATTTTTTATCTAAGAAAAAACAATAGCAACAAATTTCCAGGAAAGCTAACGGTAAATTTTGAAGACGTTGAATAGTCATCATCATCATCATCATCATTATCATCATCATCATCATCATTATCATCATCATCATCATCATCATCATCACCATTGTCGTCGTTATCATCATAATCATTAACATCATCATTATCAACGTCATCGTCGTCATTATTATCATTATTATCATTATTGTTATCGTTATCAGCATTACTATTACTAAGACAAGTGTTATTACCATGTTTTTCTTTCATCTTCTGTGTACTCTACTCGTGGTATAGGTTCACCACTGAAACAAAAAAGCATAAAAACTTTGAGATTTACAAATACCAGGCAACATGACAGCCTGGTCAAAAATTCAGGGCATAAAATTTCGAGAAACTTTGGGTCAGAAATTAAAAACCTATAATAATAACACTTTCTGAATCAGGCACCTTATGTGAAAAGTTGAAAAATTTCTTGCTACTGTTTTATAGTGATCATACAGATTAAAATCAAAGTCAGCATTTTTTTAATTAAAAAAGCGCAAAGACAACCTTTTTTATGTTTCTTTTTTATCATTTTTGAGAAAAGTCCAGACAATATGCGTTACCTTGGAAAACACGTCGGGAAATAATGTTTTACGTTTACGTTTAGATAGACTTGCTTTTTTTAAGTAATAATATTTTAGAAAAAAAATCAAAGCAATAATTCTTATATTTTGTTCCATCGTTAAAGTGTACAATATAGTTGTGTAACGATTTTATATAACATCAAATTATGCATTTTTGATTTTTATATACTATATACTCGTATACTGTAAATAAGTGTCAAACAATTACACCAAGAATTATATTTATGTCTCACGACTTTTTGTTCTTGAAACACACAATATATTGGAAAAATAATGCTAAATAACTAAAATGAAAAATACATGAAAGTGTAACATTAATAATGTACGAAATGTAAAAAGTATTCTAACCATGCAATGTTATAAAATTTAAATACATTAGAAATATGCAATAGTTGATAAAAAGATAGTTCTTGCATTCATTCTTTTTTAACTATCATGCATATATATGCATACAAAAACAAATGTTAAACCATTAAAAGCCACTTATTACAAAGAAAAAATACTTAATATATTATCATATTTAAAAACGTTAATATTACCAAAATGGACATTTAATCAACACTAAAAACATAAAAATATAACTTACTGTCGATAATTCATGGCAATGGTGGCAAAGTGTAATCTTCTTTGTCTGTATACCTTATCAGTGAAACCCTGTAATACATGTTGATTCAACGGCAGTTGAAAGAACAGAACAGAACAGAACAAAGCTTTGGCAAAAACATATTAACATGTCCATCGCCCATACGTTATTACAAGGTATGGCGGTAAAAATTAAAAGCATACGACAGTTCAAAGGTAAAGTTTACTTTAAGAAATTGTAATTAAGTTCCTTTGCGAAACAAGGTTATTCAAATCAAACTAATCAGTTTTGATTCCGTACCTCGGACAAACCAGTTTCGGTGCCACACTATGGAAACATGGACTAGTAAAGTTCGAACCCACGGTCCATATAACTGTATTTATTGCAAAAACGCAACAGATGAAAAACGATTGTTCAGGTAATTGGTCAAGGATATTAATATGAAAGTACATCAAAATTAAAAGTATTTTTAAAATAGAAGTAAACTATTTTAGAGGCGGAATAGTTCTTTGAATAACATTGACAATATTTATAACTTTGAAATAAAAATTTCCTGTACATGTACACATGTCAATTTTCATATCTGATATTAGAATTTCAAGGTTCATCATCAACGAAGAAACATCTTACAAACTACCATAACAAACCACATAACAAGCAGAGCAAACTAATCATAAAGTAAATTTGAATAACAATCAAGTGTGGAAATATTATACAAAAATAAACAAAATAATATTTCTGCTTACAGGATGATCAGCATCTAACTCGGTGCCGTACATTAACACACGATTTGCTGTTCGGTCAAGGTCACTGACAGTCCTCGGAAACCAGGGAGTTGTCGCAAAATTATCTAGAAAAAAAAAACCCCAAAGAATTAAACTTAGCTCATGCAATAGATCCATGTGTATATAGTGATGAACAGGTAAAAGTAAAACTAGATTACATTTTGCCATAATTCCTTTCAATTTTATAATTTACTTCGCTTTAACGATTAATAAACCACGTGACACGAGGAAATGTCTGTAAATATCACTCAGAATTTACTGTAACGTTCAATTTATCAAAAGAGCGAAGAGTCTTTTTATATTTTAGCCAGATTTATATTTTACCCTATTTTACACTTCCAATATCAACATTTAGTTATTTACCGTTATAACAGTCAATCTTTTGAAATACATGTAATATTATATACACATGTCAATTCAGCTCAACTAGACACTATACATATGAGCATTGTGTCACTTAAAGTACGATGACATGCAACAACTCATATGTACTATAATATTAATTAACACGAATTTTGGCATAATGTCATATTTTGAGGAGCTATATCATGAAAAGACCTACCAGGAGTAAGAGCTGGTGATTGCGGTATAGGGAAGTCATTGAGAGTTATACTAGCAACCTGTTTCTTCAAACGCTTTATAAGTTCCTGCAATCGTATATAGTCTGTTTCCAAGTCAACGTATATATCAAACATCGAATCATTCTTTTCACTCTTTCTAGATTCAATATGGACCACATTTATATTATTTTCCTAAAAAGAAAACAAATCAATGCATAATTTTATAATGTATGTATATATTTCACTAGCTGTTGAAAGGTTTTTCGCGTTAAACAAACGCGTTATGTCTCTGGAAACATACCGGTTCTCGTCATTTATATGGTCCTTAATAATCAGTCATATGGTATTTTCATAAATATCAAAAACGTTCATTAATTTACCAATGTTTCATGATCCACCAGTACGATTCTTTAAAAATAAGACCCACCTTATGATTAGTATTTTAATCAGCTAGCTTGACTATTAAACCGCTGTTCAACGGCTTATTATGTAGTCTCTAATAAAATCTATTTTAACCTATAACTTCTTGAAAAAACAACAACAAAAATAACAATAACAACAGCAGACCCCCAAAGCAGCGACTCTTGTGCCACTAACTTTATACTGACAAAAGTTCTAACAATTAGCTTTAAATCTATATCTTATGCTAACGTACGTTCTGTCAATGTTAGATTAAGTAAAATTGTAAAAAGTAAAAGATAAATGAGAAAAATAAAATTTAGCTTACCATTTTGAAATTTTTGTAATGCATACCGGAATAAAAGTCTTTATAAATTACATTCTTAGCTATATGACTAAAACATGTTCACTGTATTTCATATTTGTTTCATCTGATTTACAACTTACATAAGAAGCGCTAATAAAACTGTTCACGAAGTCTATTTAAGTGATTCATTGTTAACAACGCGTGAAGCAAGTCATTTCATATCACGATTTTTTTTGTTATTAAAGTCCAACTTGGTTTAGCCCCCAAGTCTAAGTTTGAGATACCTTTGTTACCAGGATACTGCTCATAGCTTATGCACAAGGTTGTGTAACAATGATGACTTTTTAATTCCAAAAGTCTATTAATTTTTCTATCAAAACCATTTTGCTTTTTAGGTTGCTCACCATGGCATTGTCTGCCAGTTAGTATCAATCAAACTAAAACTGTACGTCCTTTTAAACGTGTACATATGAGCCGCGTCACGACAAAACCAACATAATGGGTTTGCGACCAGCATGCATCCGCGCAGTCTGATCAGGATCAATGCTGTTCGCTATCAATTTCTCTACTTGTTATAGAGTTTGTAAGCGAACAGCATGGGTCCTGATCAGACTGCGCGGATGCGCAGGCTGGTCTGGATCCATGCTGATCGCAAACCCATTATGTTTGTTTTGTCGTGACGCGGCTCAGTTATCAACATTATATTTTAGAGGACTTGAATTAGACTTTATATTATAATGTAGGCAGTTTACATCTTGGGACATGCTGGAGTTATCTTTAACAGTATAATGTATTATAGTTTTCTTTTTTATTTTCAGTGATAATTGCAGCAACATATTATCACTACCTCCCTTTGTTATGTAATCAACACTAAGGGACCACAATGAAAACAAGGAGCTTGCAATTGGGTTGCGCTTGGTGGAAAATGTGAACGGACATAAGGACGAATGACTGTGGACGACCATAATTACTTATTTTGACATTTCATGTCGGGCTAGTTAAAACTAATAAGTGTTCCCTTTTTTGCTCATATTTATGTTTGATTACATCTTTGTATACAATGCTTTCAGAATCGGCATCAACAAGAGACAAATACATTATAGTACTGGATTTTGTTTTGTGGTCAGGTGATAATAATTGGTATATGTAATACAATACTAAGATATGGTTTATGCTTTGTAAAGGTTAAAATGTATGGCTTTCCGCCGATTAAATAAATTTGCATGTACTGGTATAATACCTATGGTAAACATATCAAAAATACTTATCTTTATTTTCTTACCAACTTCAACGAATTCACAGAAAAGGTCACAGAACATTAATAAAATATGATACTTTTTGATATATTCAATCAATTAAAATAATGGTTATTTTGATGTAACATTTACACTTATCTCCCGTTTAAAGAAAACAGAGCACCTTGCAAAGAGGAGCTATTAGTACCAATGTTGACATCTGAAGCATGACGTTTCTTGATATAAAATATATGAATCTAAGACAAAATGACGTTCCCATTCCCAGTTTTGCTTGGCTTTCTTTTCTAACTTCCATGTCTCAGAAATGAATATAAATATCACAAAAGAATGGCCAATCCTGTGTTTTCGAATGTATATTATTATGAATTTAGAACATGTGATTTGTTTGTTGCTCGAAAAAGTCACGATTAACTTGAAATAATTGGTCAAAAAAGAAGAAACACGTATGTGTTCGGTGAGGAAAATTATTCGATCAGTTTTTTCAATAGCCACAAGCAAAGATAATAAAGCAATATGAACATTGAGTTTTTTGGACACTTTGACTGAACAACAAAATAAGAATACAAATATGAGCCACGTCACGGCAAAACCAACGTAATACGTTTGCGACCAGCATGGATCCAGACCAGCCTGCGCATCCGCGCAGTCTGATCAGGATACATGATGTTCGCTTACCAACTCTATTACAAGTAGAGAAACTGATAGCGAACAGAATGGATGCTGATCAGACTGCGCGGATGCGCAGGCTGGTCTGGATTCATGCTGGTCGCAAACGCACTATGTTGGTTTTGTCATGACGCGGCTCAAATATGTTTCATAAATTACCTCAAACACTTTGAGTGCATTGACTAAACATCCAACGGTGTTTCTCAAAGAAAATACGATAGATGTTGTCTTGCCTATCCCACTTGGACTTGCGATGCCTAAATTTCTTATATTTTCCTGAAATAGAAAACACAAAGTATATTGTATTGAATTCCAAACTCTGCTTAAAACAATGTACAGTGTTCATTAGTCCATTCGTTCGCTCATTCTCTCATTCAATTAACGTAATTGTTTTGTATTCTGACTAACAAGTCAAAGGTCACGTTCTAAACACGTTCGTAAACAAAAGATACCTTACTCTGCTATCACTATTTCATATTTTTAAAACAAACGGAAGTATTTCACATTCTTGAAACAAATGGAAACTATTTCACATAAACAAAGGGAAACTATTTTACATTCTTTAATCAAATGAAAGTATTTAATATTTTGAGTGAAAGGGAACTATTTCACATTTTTGAAACAAAAGGAAACTTTTTTCGGATTCTTGAAACAAAAAACAAATAAGTTTTCTTATTTCATTTATTGTTTATAATTTATTTTCGCTGATATATGTCATGCTTTTCGCTTATAGAAAATTCATACACGGTTGAACTATTTTCTGTTGTTGCTAAATTAGTATTGTTTCTCTACATAACCTCAAAACTAATTCCCTGAAAGAGTTATCTCTCTCATATATACGAACATATTAGCTAGATAATCGAACTTGTGTAAAACAATCAATCTTTCTAAGAGAAATAAAGTGAATATAAGGCTCAAGTCAAAGGTCATTTGTTCCTAGATTGTTTTGCAAAATGATTTCTTGATTTAAACCTAAATCGATGTCTTGATTACCATCAAAATATCTTATCCGAGCAATGTGTATGCTATAGCCAAGTTCATGCATTAATTTGCATGTTGAACGTTTCCCATTCGGCGGTGGTATTAAAAGATTTGTTATTTGGACAAATATAGAATCAGAAAATACCGGGGCTTAAGAAAAAACATTACTATCAGGTTCAGTTATTTCATTCATGAAAATAAGCTGGCTTTACGTGCACAATAGCATGGAAAGCTATTCGTTGGTCGAAATTGATGTTTATTCCTTCATTTTATTGTTTCCGAAATAAAGAAAATCTGTAATTCAGTTCAACGGTCTTGCATTTGATATGCATTCTTGGTAAATTGTACACACACTTCTACACGGACATGTTTTGTCTGCCATTGTTGAAATAAATTAAATATTAATATTTCAATGGTACAGTATGTCAAGGGACACAAACAAAACAACAATAACGACGACGACGACGGCGACTACATCAACAACAACTAAACAGAACATGAAAACGTTCTGTTTTAATATTGTATTTGAAATGACCATGTTTATCTTATTTAGGCCGTTTAAAGGGCACTCTATTTTTTCCGGAGTATTTATTCTAAGAGTAAAAAAAGGATAACAAAAAATACGAATTTCAAATTATTTCTGAGACTGTTTCTTAATTATCATTGCACATCTTTGTGTTTTAAATGCCCAAGCTTATCTTTGTAGGAAATTAAAATTTTATGTTGTTAGGTTTTGGGACCTCAGTGACAACACTATATTGCAACATTCCGATGCACTGGGAGAAATATTACATATTATAATGCCTACATTATATGAGAGCTTTAGAAAACGAATATCTCCAGCGCAACTTTATTGCTCATGTATAATACCGCACGTTTGTTGCGTCGTTTTTCATTGGATAATCGTGGCGTTTACACGCGGCTGCTGTCAACTTTTTGCGAGAAATCTATTTGTGCTAATAAAGGAAGTTTTCTGTAATATAAACTCGATATAAAAATTATGGACAGGTTATATAACCGTTTGTACCGCGACTAGGGTTATATTTGCTAACAAACGATTATGTAAGGCCAAATAACTTGTCAAACTTCCTTTTAACCATCAAAATATACGTGGGTAATTTCTTAATAACATAACCGTTGCTTATTGGTCAGCATTTTATTCTTTGACTGATATGTATATACATGCATGTAATTAAATGTAGCAAGCTCGATCCCCCCCACCCCATATTTCCAAAACAGATCAGTGCACACGCCCAGGGAAAAGTTAAAGAGGACTGTCGGACAGATATTGAAAGTCAAAATTATTAAATCCATGGTCTCTCTATCGACTATAAAATAATATTTATATGCTCTTGCCCATAAGGTAATTATTCCGGCGGCAAATTAGTTAAGCAAAATACAAAAAAATCAAGTGTTAAAAAATAGGCGCAGTGATCCAGTGGAAATATTTGAGTTTACAAGTTAGGCTCCCTGCATTTTCAACTTAAAGAGCTCCACTGAGGTCAAAAATGTTTTAAATTTTACAAAGATCGATTGAAGCACTTCAAAAAGAAAAAAATCTGCAAAGGATGATAAAGGAAATATTCTCAGAATTTAATTGAAACCGATTTTTGTGCAGTTCTTAGCTCGATTTTAGTGAAAATCGTTGCAACTTGTTCCATTTTATGGGGGATCATTTTCCTCATACTGGAAAAAACGGAATGAGGGAATAAGTTTAAATAATTTGTACGTGCAAATCTACATCAAATGATTCACAAATTTCGGAAAAATATTTCCAGTACCATCATGTCACAAACCCCCCCTTAAAATTACAGTAGGGTACGTCTTTCGGACGAGACGTCTAGAGTAACGGTTCTTGCATGAGCGTAGGTTCAATACTGAATTTATTGAACGAATTGAATAAAATTATATTATGTAAGCCTCTGGAGAGCAAAATATTATTTTATTCAACGACTTCATTTAATTCAGTAATGAACCTACACGAATAAATATTATATTTATCAAATACCAAAAATAAAGCCTTTTTAAACTGCAAAATAATTATTTTGTTCATTGACTCAACTATTACGCTAACATTTAGCACGTGTTTACAATATGTTGATGTCACGTTAAAAAAATATATACACGGCCGTGCAATACCATTTTACGGAGTAATCTGCACGATATGTGATAAAACCAGTAATGAGATGGTTGTAAATTGATAAATTCTAGTTCAATTATAGAAAGAGTCCGACCAATGTGCTGTTTTCGCATACAATACTGTAGTAAGAAAGATTTTGCCGATAAGATGCAATGAAATACTAATAGATTTAAAATATATTTTCCTTATGACACACATCGTTTCATTCGTGATTACTTTCATTATTTTGCTTAAAAAACGGCAAACGAAATCTATTATTCGAATTTAAGATCAAAGCATCGATATGGTGGCCTCTTTTGACTTGGAAATCTCTTTCTTTTTGAGTTTCACAAGCATGGGAAAATGTTTACCATTTAACTCGTGCGCATGTCTTTTCTATATTGAAAGAATGTGATGGACTAGTCGAAATTTGGCATGATGTGCAGGTTTTACCTATATCCATGCTTGATATCTTCTTGTACCATCTATCTATATCACGTCACCTTTGAACCTCAACTTTGTTACAGAAATATGTTTAGGAACAGATCTAGTTAATACATCTTTATAATTCAAGCGCTATTTTCGAAAAACGAAAAATATGCAAACATATACATTCACCGGTAAATATTCAGTATCACTCTCTATCTTTAAATAATTAATTAATCAATACATTTATTTATTGTTTTGGTTTCAAGTCACATCGACATCGCCAATGCCAAAAGGTGACTTTTCAGCTTGATTGCTGGATGAAGACCGAATATGCCGCCCCTTCTCCCACCCCACGATCCATGGCACCAGCTACTTAGTTTTAACAACATCTGAGAGTTGACACAAGCTAGTATTGAAATTGCTCTATTCGTGTTATGACAAAGTACCTTTTCTTTGCGATCTCAGCTCTAAATTAATTAGATTGCCATGAAGTTGCAATTAATGAGAACAAAAATATCCGAAATAGACATTATTAATGAAATTTTAAAATTTCGCAAGGGACAAAGTGGATTTCTCCCTCCGATGCGATTTAATTAGATTGGAAAGTTCTAAGATTTGAATATTCTATTGTAACAATGCGATACAATTTCGTTGGCATATGAATATTGGTAGAAACACAACTAGATACAATGTATTTCATAAGAGGCTATGTCCTGAAAGATTATTTGAATGTATGTAAAGAGTATTTATAATCCTGTCAGATATGCAAGAATAACTAAAACAACATCGTCATGTAACCAAAATTTCAGATTTCAGCTGGAAATATGTGCATTTTTGGTTAATATGTGATTTGGAAATATGAGTGTTCGATTTTGATAGAAAAAAAATCTAAAAAGTCAATGAGCTGCTATGACAGATTCTGAAGCTAGAATTTAGAATCTGTCCGCAGCTATTTTTAACATTTTAGTTATACCCAATATTATTTCTTTTTTATGTTTCCCTACAAAATCACCCAGCAAACTTGATTCTGCAACTTGGTGGTGGGTAAGTTAAATATAAATTAGCTTCGTTCCATCTTTTGAGGTCGAACCTAGACATATAAGATTTACAGTTATTTCTGTATTTTATTCTTTAAAAAAAGACATGAAGAGATTAAGACGACGAAACAACACCAGCAGCAACCGCAACAACAATAACAACAACAATTTGAAGAAATTCAGAATTATTTTAGTTTGTTGAATTGTCCTAAAGATGTAAAAAAAAGTTTTGTATACCGCAAATAGAGTACTAGTATGTTTTTGGAAACTGTAACCAATAATAAACAGTTTTTGAGAAATAAAGACGATAGTATTTGTAAGACATAATGGGCCTTTAAAGTCGAAAATGAAAATCATGAGAACTTTTAAATTTTTGCGGACTTGCCAACGAGATCTTTAATAAAAATTCTAGCATTTTAAAAATAATAGTATTCAGGCGTGACAATGTTACACCCACTGTTATAAAATATAAATAAATACATATAAGAAAGTACAATCTACACATATTTTTTTTCATTTAAGATTTTTTAAAAAGACACATACAGTAAACTATAATGAATCTAGATATTATCTCAATTAAATCAGCTGTTACATTTTTCTTTATGATCTAAAATTAAATACTATAACACATTTCAAAATGTTGTTAAATTAAATCAGTTTTTTATTCTGTTCAGAAGGCCATAAATAAACATAAAATAAAATAATGTTTGTTAGCATGAAAGTACCACTGGGATCGGTTTTGAGTTCAACTTAAGAGGTGTATCATTTTAACACATAGGTTTATATGATAATCGACGAATGTAAGGTAGGGTGTTGCTAATTGGAAATAATAGAGCCGATAAGAAAACAACATACCTCTAGATTCTGAATGTCACGATCATCCTCTATTATAATACTACTACATCTCCTTTTCAGCTTGAATTTTTCCTCTTTGCCATAATCTCTCTTTTCATCCGACTCATGAACCTTCATTATTCTCGCCGAGTTCCTCATGTACGCAGCCCCTCGACTCGATTGAGGCTCTAAACTGACTATCCCTCGGATATTAGCGACTCCGGGGTGATGCGGAGGCTCGACCGTAATTGAAGCTCCTCGTTCAAACGTTTTCTGAGGCGCCGTGCCATTTTGACTTGCCCGCTCTTTCTGACGTTCCATTATGTAATTTTGAAATGCGGCGTGTTTTAACGCCAGCTTATACGGTTCCACACAGTTCCCCGTTTTGGCCCAGTTCTTTAACTCGAGGGAAAATATTATATTCCTCAGAATACAAATGAGACAGTTTTCCTTTGATCCGATCTTTTAAATAAGAAAGTCAATTTGTTTTAAATAATTCTCTAAGAAAAAAAAAGAATGCGTATATCCAAAAAGTCTGCTTTCTCCGTTAGCTATTGCTATTCGATATTGAGAAAGGTGGTGAAACGTTCTATATATATAACAATAGTACGGTGATGGGAACGTCCACGATCGATTCGTTCCAATCGTTACAATATATTATACTGTACAATATGAGATATGTCCTTATGTTGTTACATGTATTAAAATGATAATACTTTTTATGTAGAGAACAAAAACTGTTAAAATTGTTGCTACATACTTAGTTGATGTTAATTTCCATCAAACACACTTTCATTCTGGCACGTAGTGTATGCAAAAGTCAGTATGTCAGTTGGTATTTTTATACATTTTTTTTTTAATTTGAAACTTTTTTTTTGCATTTTTGGTATAGGTAAATGGATGCACCAGCTGTTTCACCTGATTATGATGGAAAACATGTAGTTTTCTATCTAAATAAAATAATGTAAAACTTGTTGTTTTTTATCTCTAGTGACATTCATTAACTTATAAAATTATTTATTACAAATGTTAAATATAAGTCACCACATTAGACATTATTAATAAACATAAAATAAATATGTGTGAATTCATATGCACATGAAACTAATTAGATAAAGAGCAATGAAAAATACTTAAAAAAAATTGTAAATAAAAATACGAAAATAACTGATTTTGCCTTTAATGAAATGCCTTTACAAATAAACAATTTGCAAATATTGTCATATAGCAATACATATAATCTTTTTCTTTATTCATTTGTTTTGTTTAAGACACAATTGCATGAGAATAAATTACTGAATATTTCGACTCGTATTTAACAACAAAATGCACAAAATATTTAAAAAAAATATGTCTGTTTTCATTTGCACCGCGTGCATATTAGATCGTGCAAGGGTCTATAAGATGTTATAAAATATGTGCTAGCGGAGACAGTTTGCAATCAAAATCACGTTGCAAAAAAAAAACACATTTGATTAATATTTTGACTTTTCATTTTGTACCTACAATGTAACAACAGTTTAGTGCGGTGTTGTTTGGTTCAATTTGAAATGACCTAGATTCAATTTTCTCTTATGTTAAAGAAAAAAATGGCAAAAATGTAGGACTTCATGCAACAAATCTCATGTATAAATACAAAATACAAAAATTAACTACCCATCTTGTAATTTAGTTTAGTTTGTATTAAATTACATAAATAAAACATTGGAATACTGGCGAAATAAAGTACAAAGACATCTTTATGCTAGCCTAGATAAATATGCAAATTCTGCAGACGATAGCGTCGAGGAAGATACAAAAAGTATATATACATGTATATATTATAATTATCACAAATATACATGTATATCGTTGTATTAATTGAGTGTTAAACCGAGAGATTCTCGCGAACACCTTGTGAAAATTACTTTTAAAAAATCAATAAAACCGACATACATTGTATATATTAACATAGCGTTAACCAAATTGACATAAATAAATTTCAAATTTTCTTCTGTTATATACGTTTGAGTGCTGACGAAGGAGGAAGCCTTGGTTAGTATCGAACATGGTAGTGTTTTTCCATATAGTCCGAAGAGACTTTATTGTAACCCCTTAATGTCCCCTTCCTACAGTTTACAAGATATAACCTGGTGAATTTTATGTCATTTAACTTCGTTCCACGTACTTCTACCAACCACTTGTTGTTAATGAAAAGAACAAAAACATTAAAATAATAGCTATATCAGCCAAGCAAAGGTCAATCTAGAATCATAACGAGAAAACATGTTGTTTTTTCATCTTTTTTCAAATAGAAATATAATTGTACCATACGACATTTCACAAATGACGTCGCCAGTGCGGGAAACAACAAAAGGTCATTAGTCGTCTTGGTGTAGCGGATAAATCCCGTCTTTATTCGGACCTTAAGAACCCGGCTTTAAAATGACGGAATGTCAATATTTCTATGAATATAAATGAGCGTCCTACACGCTTTTACGTCTAACATATTTACAATCAAGGATGAATCGTCTTTCATGCCGCCGAACATCGTTTCATTAGGAATTGTTTTTTTTAATTCTCTACGCGACAAGTTAACTAGAATTAAAACGGGTTTTTTTTTATTCTAAAACACCAGATGATGATTGTGCAATTAATATTCGCTATGTCAGCATAAAATTTGTCTCCTTTACGTAAATAAAAGTAATTGTCATTATCTTGAAACATTTATGCATGTTTTGCAAGTTTAAATCAGTGCTGTCCCGATATCTGTATATTTTAATTGTCGTCATAATTATGTAGGTGAATTGAAGATGCCTCTCACGCAAGTCACCCACATGAGTTACAAAATGTTACGCAAGCACATGTAAACATGCGTGTCAGCGTTCCCTGCTGGAACCGAACGGATTTCTCTTTGCTACCACAGCTAAACCTGCGCATCTTTACAGTCTTGCCAGTGTCTAAACTGTGATTGAAATGTTCCAATGGCAAATCCTATACGTAAAGGGTTAATTGAACATTATTATGTAGTATAAGACACGTGAATTTGTCAAACTTGTTTTAGAACAATGTTTCTACCCAGACTAGACCCACATGCAAATAATGGCCATCAAATTAACACTATAAGTATCAAATGTCATAATGACTTCAAAGTTTACGTTTCTAACGACGTAAAAATGTAAAAAAGGTATTAAAAATGTATTGTGATTACAGATAAAAACAGCCCACACAATTATGGTTTCGATAATAGAACAATTGATATGTAACGTCAGAGACTGTTAAATTGCGCTTCATTATTAAACTATGGAAATTGACCGCACACCTTTATAGTTTCGTAACTAATAAACAACAGAAAATGGATAATAATGTGTATTTTTCCCTTTGGTATTTAAACCATTTTTACATAAGTATTCTTACGTATCTTTCGCTATCTTTATTATTTTCTAATTTGACCCATAATGATGTTTTTTGACACTTTTTTAAAGGGAATAATAACTATGACTATCGACGCAAACGTGTGCGGCGCATTGTCGATGTAAACGTGTGCCACGCATTGTTTAAATAACATAATATCACTGGTTTATGTGACACGGGTGGATATATTTTCGTTAATCAGCATTGTAATACTTTTCACAGTTTTCTATCCCGATATTTTCTGAATGGGATAACATATCACCTTGTGAATTGTCACAGTTTTTAATGGTCTAGATATAGAACAGAACAATAACTTTATTCAGGATTCGTACAAAACGTTCATCATCATAAAGACATATATATACATATAAAACAATTTACAATATCAAATATAACGTCACACTGAAATAACAAAGTATTATTTCTGATTTTAGTACAATCTGATTTTTTGGAGGAGGATGAACCACAAATAGTTAAACATAAACGCAGTTCAAAAAGAGGGTGCACATTTTTGTGTCCCTAAAGACCATTTAGATAAGTCTTAATAACCATTCATGAATTTTAAAGTTCCACAATCATTCTTTCTGTCCCGTAAAAGTGCGCATGCGCTAAATATGGCGGTTCTTTAAAAATCTCTGAGTCAGAAATATAAATAAAACTTATTTCAAAATTTAAAGATCATTTTTTTTTTACAAAAACAATATATCATAAGGATTTTGTATTTAGTAACGGTAGAGAAAAATGAATTATTTTTCAAGTATATTCTGTATATATACCAATCATTTTATTTAAACGCACATTATGCCTCAGAAATCCATATTTTTTCAATTCTCTTTGAATGTTAAACACACGTTTAATAATGCTTTTAAAAAGGATTTATAGCATATTAGATAGATGTAGCACTGAACGTGCAGCAATGTGTCATAAAGATAGCAAAACGTAAACAAAATAGTATTTTGACTTCCATACAAAGTAATTCTTCCCTCTTATTATACCAACTGGCAACAGAGCAAGCGAAGAACTATGTGGCAAATGAGTAAATATTTTGAAACTGTAACAAGATACCAAAAATTAAAAAAGTTTCTGAGTGATAAAAAGATGGCATTTTTGAGGCATATTGGGCCTTTAAGAGGATGGAATGGAATGGAAAAAACAAAAACAGCTTACATAATATGTTAGTAAAATAAGCATTTCTTAATTAAAGACACAACTAAGTATATAAATTGGAGCCGGCTACACTTATTTTACATATCTACATCTATCATTAATTAACATTTCATATGTCTGGTTGCAATATGCTTTTTAAACGCAGCTTTTCCCCCCACCTTTCCATTTGTACACCAAAGACAGTAATTGGACATGTACCCTTTTTCATACTTTTCTCATGTTCAAATAATGTATTGTTTTGTCTTATACCGCCATAATACTATAACTTTTCAATAAGCTAACATTCTACGCGGTCTGTATAGTATAATCCCCCATTTAAGTCACATCCGTAAAAAAGGTAAGGGAAGTAACTCTTCCCTGACTTTTATCGCTTAAATGGCGATAGACATTGAAATTTGCGGTAACAAGAAACTAGCGACACAAAGTCGTTACGTCACGGGTAGTTTAGTTTAAAAATGTTAGAAATGGGACAGAAGACATTTTGTAAATGCGAAAATTAATAAACTTTCACTGTTTTTGGAGCAGCTTATACACATATATAAATTCCGTATTTAAGTTTAAACAAATTTTGCATGTAACATATCGTAAAATAGTAAACACCGGTAAGATTCATATAGAGTATCGTTTTAAATTTTTAGGTATATCATAAGAAAAAGCAACTCTATTTTTGAACGGGAAAATATTTAGTATCAAAATGGGACTAGCTCTTAATTTTATCTGATATTGATCTCACGACTTAAAGAAGTCAGAAAGGTTTTACCCAAGGACCATTCTCAATCTCTGAAGCAAAGTATATGTCCAGAGCTAGCTTGAGCACAAAATCTCCCTTTATTCATATTCGGACCCTTCGTTCACCACCTTCCATCCATTTCAGATGTGTTGTTACTGATATTTTTATTCGTGTTTTTATGATTTATTTTTAATATAAGAATCATATCAACTCAGCGTGCAATTAGTTTGTAGAAATTATCTTATATAATACAATAGAACAACGTGCTGTTTCACCAATCGTTAAACTTCGGGTATTTTCGTGTGTTTTAATAGATCTTAGAAAGCATAGGAGCAATGTTGGCCATATCTCGTCTTTTTCCAATATTATAAACATAATTTATCCTAACGCTTGAGATTTTATTATGGAAAAAAAATATTTGAATTAGGCATTAAGAGAAATATGTTCAATGTCCTACAGTTCATATATAAATCTGTGTCAACCAGGGTTCGAGTAAAATGTCTAATTCGACACAATCTCTGGTCTTCAACAAGGCTGTTCATTATAACCAATTTAATTCAACATGATTGTTTATGATTTGGAATTAAAATTAAAAGCCACCGGAAAAGGCGTCACTATACAATGAATTAGTTTGCCTTTTATTGTTTACTGACGATTTTATGTTCTTGGTTGCAAATGAAACAAACGTTCAAATGCGTTAAATGTTTTAGTAAATTGGTGTTCATTCAACACAATATTTGCTTACCCTGAAAAGATTATTATTATGCATTTTCGGCCATTATTTGTTGGCAGAACGGACTGTTGTTGACCACATTCTAAAGATGTTTTATTACTTTATATGTACTTGACTTTGTACATTCATGTTCTAACTTGGTAACGTCCTGTAAATTCATGTTCTAACTTGGTCATGTCCTGTATATTCATGTTCTTACTTGGTCACGTCCTGTACATTCATGCTCTTCTACCTAGGTCATGTCCTGTACATTCATGTTCTTCTACCTAGGTCATGTCCTGTACATTCTTTCTTGGTCATATCCTGTACATTCTGGTGAATATATCATACCATGTTCAAGATGAATATGAGTGAGTGAATTTTTATACTCCATCTATGTAATAGTGATGTTTACATGTATAAATGATATTAACAGACACAAAGTCTGTATAGACTGGCTGAGTGCATTTTAATACATTCAATATACTTTTATTTATGATATTTTGTATATATTTATCACATTAAAACAATACTGTTATAAATATATATTCTGTATTATAGCCGAGATGATCAGACTGGCATTTTTATTATACTAGTATATAAAAATATATCTAGGTATTGTGTGTACGCCATTCATCATAAATTACGAAAATAAAACAGATTACCTACCTGCGTCACCGACATATTTGGCGATTATACAAAATGTATTAGTAAGATAAAGAAGAAAATAGATTGAATATATTGTTATGTTCTATATCGGATACGTGGTCGTTAATAAACCCAGGTAGAATAAAGAAGCGTTCTAATTTGTAGTAATGGTATAGGCATACACTTATATAGAGTTTTCTATTTATAGTTATATGAGGTCATCTAAAAGCACTAATAAGATTACATTAAGTGCACAGACACTTGGGGTGAGGAGCTCTAAACGCCTTAAATCCATATAAAATGAATATTTGTCAATCCCAGCACATATACTTCATATATGTAAAAAAAACTCTTCATATAAACTGTTTAACTTTTGAAAAAAAAATTTATATTTCAACATCTATAATAATACATGTACATGTGCTAGGTTTGACAAATAGACATTTTATTTGTTATTTTAAGGCGTTTTGGAGTTCCGCATCCCAAGTGTCTGTGATAAGGTGCAGTGCCCATTATGAGTGGTAAGTTTGGCAGCCTCTTCTACCATCTAGGATATTCAGATGTTTGCCTATTGTCCCCCATAAATAAATTCTGAATTATTACTATTGAATTCAGCACGGTGGAGGAACTGTTACACGAGGGATGGAGTTCTTATGATAACTTGTCAAGAGTTCTTGTGATAACTGTCACGAAGTTCGTCGGAAAATATTTGTATTTTCTACAAAACAATCGTCAAAAATGATGATTCTCATCTTTAAAAAGTGTGTTTTAGGTGTTAAGTTAACTTGTTTATGATTAAGCTTGTCTTACATCATGTATTATGTGTCAAAAACTAATTCATGGTCCAATTTTCATCGCCTCTTGCTTAAAATCTGGTAGTTTTGAGCAAAATTTCCAAATTATTTGCCAATTCACAAATATTGACCTGTTTATTCCTGATCTTCATCTTTGCCATAAGTAATTACCTAATTATAATGCAAAATTGCAAACATAAAGCCACAGCTAACAAATTTATACCCGATTATTCAAATGTCCTGGAGTTCTTGTGATAACTCTGAAGATGTCATAGAGTTCTTGTGATAACTTTTGTTACTGCCAGTGTGTTTCTTGCGCTAAATCACGGCACGTTTTAGCGTTATTTATCATTCAATAAGGTTGTAAATTATTATGAAATGTAACGTTAGTACGCTCATCATTTACACAAAAATGAGGATATATAATATTGGTTCCACTTGTTCACGCGAACATTTCTCGTGAAAAATATCTGTATCTGTTGCAAATTACTAGTATTCGATCAAATAACTTTTAAAATAAAAACATACCATCCGACATTATATCTATTTTACAGACACTCATATTATCAAGTATATTAATATACAAAATAAAGATAGGCCTAACATTTAAATAAATTATAAATAAATATTATATTCGGAACGTTACACGCTTCACAGAAATCTTATATTAACCATTGATATCTCAACGTTGAAAACCACAGAATAACCAAGGTCTTTGTAGAATTTGGCTCCTCCTAGATTTCGTTCCCTGCTGAATGATCTAAAACCGTAATCATAAAGTTTTCTTAACACTCTTAACTGTCTTATCTTCTCGTATCTCATTTCTTTGTCAAAATGAAATTCGACGAGAAGTTGGCGAACATTTGCCAGCGTTCCTGACGTCATCATTTCTTCAAAGGCAGACCACTCTGATCCTTCTACGTCAACTTTTAACAAATCAAGCGTCCTCTGTAAGATATGATGTACAAGATGGTTATTCAAATTCTTTAAAAAAATAGTCAATTCAGAATAATCGCCAGACCATTTACTGGACAAATACCGTCATAGTCGAACAATTTTTGTTAAAGGCTAATTATACCCCGGCAATTTTTTTATTTTTATTTTCTAAAAAGCTTTTTTTATGTTTGGTGTACTTACATAGTTGAAAAAAATGTTACTTATTGGCCTGAACCTGAACCATCTCTTTCTCTGTTACTTTTGGGCAATATAATTTTAGTACAATTATAAAGATTTAGTATTTTGTATGGAAGTCAAAATACTACGTTATTTACATGTTGATACTATATGACATAGAACTTCACATTTAGCTATCCAAACTCCTCACAGTGATTACCTCCCTTGGCAGAAATTGTATTGATTAGGGGAGATCACTGCGAAGAGTGCTCTTAAAGTACTAGCTAAATTTTATAAAACTCATGTTTGTCTGCTAGTTAAGAAATTTTATCGTGTAATCAGCAGAAAACTAGAAAATCAATTCAAGCTCAAAATATACAATTCGTAGGTATGAAAATTTAGTCTATATATTTCAGCAAAATCATTTCAAAAACTGTAATAAATATATCTTTTACCGTAGAGTGTCCATATTCTTGTAGAATTGTTCCAAGTGTGAACAGATTTTTCTCCGGCATATCAACACCTTCCAATCCTTTCTCATAGAACTTGGAACTATTTGGTATTCTCATATCCTTTCTATCCAATGACCCCATCCTATAGTATTAAATTTTATTCATTGCAGTACGTAATTTTAGAGAGAGAGAGAGATATAACCTGTCAAAAATCTTTATGACTTATATAACGTCGCTTTTAATTGCATTATCGTGATGTTTATTGTATAAAAAATGACAGATTATATGGCCCTACATAAACGGTTATATTGCAAAACAATCGTTTATATACGGTCATATAACCTGTCAGGAATTATTTTTAATGAATTTTTGATACAGCAACGTTCTTTTTTTGAGAGAAAAAATGAGATTACGGCATAAAAAACAACAGCCTAAAACTTACGTCGGATCAAAGGTTAAAACTTCACACCCAAATTGCTTGATTAGTTTATATTCGAAGTCAAATTTGTTGTTTGAACTGAAAAAAGAAAAATAAACTTATAATGAAAAAGTAACAATATTTAGAATAATATGGTAAAATATTTTTAAAATATATTAATAGCATATGGCTTATGTTTTTTTTAAACTTTTGTTTAAACTGCGTGTCATAAAAACTTCTGTTCAATCATTTGTATATTGTCAGGCATATCTCCTCAATGTGAACAAAATACGTTTATGGTATATCTCCTATGTTAAGGGTCAAAGAAAAATGAAAACAACGTTAAAGCAAAGCATTGTGGTGGGTAGAAGAACGAAATTTCGCTCACATTTTCGTGACTTTGATTTTCATTGTTTTCTTGTCTAATTGAGAAGGTAAGTACTTCGGCTCATCCATCCATTTTCTAAAAAATGTAAATCGAACCGGAAGTGTAAAAATAAGATTTGATATTATTTAATGAAGTTTTATCATAGAATTGCTTAAAGTGTACAAATACATATTGTATAGCGTAGGCAACTTCCGGTGGTGAAAGAAAAATGCAAGTTTGGTTACTTCATTATGAGATTTTATTCAAATGCAAACTTTTAATGACTCAGAATTTGTAATTCCCTTGATTACAATAAATTTACAAAAGCATTATATTTGAGAGCAAAAAATGCTCTTCATACCATTTTTAATTAAATACAAAGGAATTGATTTCTACAAAATGCAAATTTGAACCCGGGGGGTTTGGGGTGGGGTGAAGACAATTATTTATTTATTTTTACATACAAAAAACGAGCGAAAAAATAAAAAACAAATAAATTTACAAATAATTGATTGACAAAACAATAAAATAAGCATTTTATTAAATCTATAAATGGAAAAAATATGACATTTCAAATAGATAAATTTTACCAGGGTTATTATACAAGAACTTGAAACAATGCTTTTAAGTTTGATATAAAGTACGTGACACTAAGTGTATTACACAACTTTACTGTAAAATAAATTATTTGTTATTTGTACTAAATGGAACTGGCGAAGGAAAATATTGTTTGGTATTGTTTGGCCCAATATTGAGTTAAGTTTGTCGAAGAATGATTAAAATATTTAATTTCTATATATCCATCTTTAATTCTTGCCTGCATAAATGTAGCTTTTTCAGTTAACCATCTCTATAATAATTTTATATTGTCTTTACTAATTTCAGTTTTTATTACTGTAGGCATTTTTATTTTATTTAAAACCTAAACCTCTCTCATGGACAGTGCATACGATTAGCACGATTATGCAAATTTAAATAATTAACAATCCGGAATAAAGTACAATAGTAATCTAAATAGAAAATGACCTTTGTGTAAGAATGATTTGGCAAGGTATTTGTAATGAGCGCATTTTTTGTGTGTGCCAAGCTTCCCAAATGCTGCATCGCAGAAACAATTGTTCTTGTTTTTCTACTGTTTATTTTCTTTTGAGTTCACAGGAAAGTGTAACATTTCAGTCTAAATATAAGATTGTCCATAGAATAGATATTTTCCCATAAAAACAGATACATTTTTGATGCTCAAAGAACTGTCTAAGAATTGCTACACAATCAATTAAATATTGCAACGTTAAGATGCATTTTGTTACCAGTTCGATGTACATGTTTCGCAGAAGCGGAAGTGATATTTAGATTTCTTCACATTAAAAACAAATACAAATCAACAAGTCCGTCAAGACAAATATGTGTATTATCAATCAAATTGAAACTACATCGATGCAACTGTCAGTCTGATAACATTTTGCATACGAAGTCCTATATCTTGGAAACCGTCTCTTTGTATAATAATTTGTTTTGTCTTACTTTTCAGAATTCGAAGATTTTGAAATTGGTGCAATTCATCGAAATCCTCGTCACGTTTTCACTAAATAAAACAGTTGTAGATTTTTAGCACTTAAGTCTTTTTGCCTCGCTAAACAATTAATTAATGTAATTTCTATATAACCATTTAGTCCATTCACCTTTTTTCAGTTCGTCAGAGTCAAATATTCGTTGTATTTATGGTTACAGTTAATTCGCTTAAAAAATTGTTACCGTTTTTGGTTTCGGCATGATATGGAATGAAAAAATGTGATATTTTACCCAAACGAATAAACGAGGCACGGTGATCTCGGGCGGATAATTTCGTCAACGCATACTTCCTTACCACCGTCAGTTATTACCCCTATTCTCTTGTGATTTCTGCACATTATCTGGAACGAGTTGATGTACCTAATGTATAAAGAATACATATACCTGAACGTGAATACAAAGTACCTAATTCATTTTATACAAGTATTTCTTCAGATGTGTTAAATTGACGGCATGACGGCCTGTCGACCTAATTGTTTCAACTTTTAAAGTTCTTGAAATGTTATAAAACCAATTAAAACGTCTCTTAATAAAGTTCTTAAGACTTTTTTGTCATTTAAAAGATATGAGCAAAAATCACTCTCACAGAATCAATGGAACTCGTTTTGAGGGAAACGATTATTGGATATACTGCTCTGGATAATAGATTTTGAACACTGTTAAGTCTTAACCGTCGACAAAGTGACCTACCGACATAAAAAAGCCTGATCAGATTGCATAGAAATGCAGGCTTGAATTGTCCATACTAGGTTCAAGGTTGTCACTTTTGATTCTAGCGGATTAATTATTAAAGGCATATTTAGCATCGATAACCATTGAATATTTTTAAAAAAATAATTTCATTTGAAATTATTATAGTTTAGTCAAGTTAATTTTTTCTTTCTTTTTAAATAAACTTTTCAAAAACCCACTTTGTGAAAACATCCATAAGCTGGATATCCGATAATCGCCCAAGTTGTTGGTCGTCTGGTATCAAGAACTGATCACTGTATGGCCCAACTGTTATTATGTCACCGGTGCCAACTGTTTTGGAAACAAGTCTAAGTGTATACACTGTAAAGCAAAATTGTGTATGAGTAAAATCAGCTAAAACAGGAATGTTAACATGGCAAATCACATTCAACAATTATTGTAATTTAGTATATAACAGTACAATTTTAAAAAAATTCACAATTGTAAGGCACAGTGTTGTGTGCAAAAAACATGGTCATTGTGGTCAAAGTCAAGGTCAAAGATAGTGAGACAGTAAATTCTGGAACAAATAGATAAAAATAACTTTAATAATAATGTCGAACATTAGCATCTAAATTGTATTCAGCAACAAAAATAACAGTGGAAAAAGTGGTTATCAACATTATCCTGATCAGAGAAGAAGAGGTCGTCGTGACTGAAACAGAGGTAATCGTGGAGGAATTTGAGTGTGATTTAGTGGAAGAGACAATAGTTGTAGTTATGCATAGGTTTCTGCCGGGTTTTGAAACATTTACGGATGAAAAAATGATGTTTAGAGATAATCACATATAGTGAAAACAATGTCTATTATATTTAGACTCTAGCTGAAACTCATTTAAAAGGAAATTCAGTTATAAGTGTACTAGGTTATATTTTGTTTGGTAACGACCGCAAAAAGAACATGTGCATACAAATGCTAAAACTGGTTACGGGGGTGTTGATTTTTTAATAAAAGAAGAATTGATTAAGATCAAGGGGTCAAAAGTCAAGGTCACATTTACCTTGTAAGAAAAACGGTTTCCGATCTATAACTTGACAATCCATTAGCTGTTGGCTCTGAAACGTCGTATGTGCATTGGTCTTGGCCAGTAGATGACCCCTATTTATTGAAGGGTCAAAGGTCAATGTCATTTTTGAATTGCAGGTAAAACGGTTTCCGATCAATTACTTGACAAGCCATAGGCCTTTGGCCCTTTAACTTTACAAGTGCATTGGTCTTGGCAAGTAGATAACTCCGATTGATTTAAAAGTCAAAGGGTCAAAGATCAAGATCACATTGACCTTGTCGTTCAAAGCGGTTTTCGATTAATAACTTGACAACCCATGGGCTGTTGGCCCTCAAAGGTAATGTGCCCATATGTTATTTGGTTAAATATGTAATACTTTTGTCATAAAATTGTTGCACACAATCTTTACGGCCACAATAACCTAGTGATAAGTCATGACCAGTAGATAACCTCTATTGTTTTTTTGGTCACTAGGTTAAAAGTCAGTCACAATAACCTGACCACATGACTAATTGGCTGCCTATAGGGGGTATATATGTTTTAAAATCATATCTTGTTCAGAGGAATATCACTTTCTTGCTCCATGTATAAATTATATTGTGCTTTATGACCCGATCATACTCATATACCCTGAAACATTCATGTTCTTCATTAATCATATCCTATAAATTCATTCGTTTACTAAGTCACATCACTTACACAATCATTTTTATGGTCATGTCCTGAACATTTATGTTTTTACTTGTCATATCCTGTAAATTCATGTTCTAAAATGGTGACTTCCCTTACAAACATGTACTTGGTCACGTCCTGTACATCTTTGATATTACTTGTAATATCCTGTAAGTTCATGTTCTTACATGGTCACGTCCCTAAAAAACATGCACTTTGTCACGCACCTTATATTTATGTTCTTACTTCTAATAACCTTTACTTATGATTCATGTTCTGATATGGTCACGTCCATTACAAACATGTTCTTTGTCACGTCCTATACATTTATGTTCTTACTTGTAATATCCTGCACTTTTATGTTCTTACGTGATCACGTCCTTGACAAATATGTACTTGGTCACATCCTACACATTTATGATCTTACTTGAAATATCCTGTATATTCATGTATTTGGTCGTGCCTTGTATATGCATATTCTCCCTTTTAAATCACGTCCTGTGTAATCAAAACTTGATTACATCCAATATAAGTATATATCAATGTTCTTACTTAACTTTATACCAATCCTAACTAGGGCATATTCTTTACAATTATGTATATCCCATGCAGACATGCACAAGATGGTGTTCAAATAACAGTGCAACTGGGTAAATGTTAGAAGTGCTTAACAAACAATGCCAAAATAAATAATCTCAATCCTTCAAAATACTCACAACCATGAGATATACAAAGATTTAGTCTTTTAATCCAATTTTTAGGCCATGCCCCTCGGACAAATCAGATAGCATTGTGTTATTACTTGTATGGCCATGTAACCAGAGAATAAATGTCCATGTTTTGTTTGAAACATATCTTCTTCATCAGTCAAAAGATCAAAAGTGTTACTTAAACCAGTACAAATGTTAATCTTCTCAAGATGAGGTATTGCGGGCTGAAATTAGATCAAAGGTTAAGGTTATATAATGTAGCAAAGAGCTTGTCCGTGGCAAAACTTTAATTATACATTAAATGATTTAAATATAATATGGCACGAATGTTGACGATGTTAGGCGGGTGTTGTTTGCAAATTAAAATCCATGTGCAGGTGAGGCACAAGATCAGATGTTGAGATCATATATCAGATGAAGTATTAAAATATGTATACGGACAATGCATTTGCCTTGAATTCAGGGATTATATTACAACGTACTAATGTTCACAATCATGAGATTAAGAGTTACCAGCATACTCCAAGTCTAAACTTGTATATAGAGTCATTTTCACCTGGGACAATGAATAATCCTGAGCATGCATGTGTGTTTTTTTTTTTGCATCATTTAAATAAAATATTCGGCATTATTAGACGTTGTGTCGCTTACCAGGTTTCTAAAAATCCGGCCAACTCGGGCTCAGGTCTCGAGGTCAAACATCAATGTCACATTTTGAGATTAGAGGAAAACTCTTGCTCTTGCTCAAAATGTCGGTCTTTGTCATGTGCAAAGCACACAAATCAGAACAAAAAGAAATCTAAGGATACCAATGTAAATTGAAATAAAAAAATGAGATGAGATTTTTTTTTGTGAACGGTATATACTTGTTTATGTATAGTTATTAAGATGCAAGCAATTGCAAATACTCACAAATATACATGCATATAAAGATGACAAACGCTTGGGAGATACTCTTGGAGAAACATTTCCTTACACTGCAAGTTGAAAAACTTCTTTCTATTTTGTACATAATCTGGCAGTTTGGCTGAAAACATATCAAATATATGGCTATTTAAATCGTTCAATTCGGTTAAATTTCAGTGAGAAAGCTATAATTGAATCCTTGCTTTAGTATATCTTTCTTTTACTAACGATAGAATGATTAAACATCAAACTGAATACTCAGTTCCTATGATATCACCACACTTGCCACAGCTTTTGTCGAAGCGGCGGATCCAACGAAGCGGATCCACCTCAGCGGCGATAGAGTATTCGTTACAGAAGCGGTTGATAAAAAAAATGGCCGCTTGATGTTGTCGGTAATTTTATGACTGAACTTTATTTTATGTTTTAATGTTATACAGGAAACACCTTGTGAGAGTGGAGCCAATGTTCGTACTCTTCCAACTTATCACACATATACAATGTTATTCATTGCCATTTATGTAAACATTTCTGTACAGTTTCTACTTAGAATATATCACGCCTACTAAACGGTGGCTCTTTCACATTTTGGTGATCTGTTTAAATGAGAGCCATCGACACTTCCGTTGAAGAGCCCTCGATGTAAACAAGACTGAAAAAGGTAAGACATTTTAGTAAAAATATCAATTTAAAAAGATCATGCTTGTTTTTCAAAAATCGAAGAATGTCATGCCATGTAGAACATTTTTCTCATCATGGATGCAGTTTCGATAAGAAATACACTGAAATGACGTTGCTAGAACTTTTACCAAATATAACCTCGTGGGTTTTCTTTTACGAAGAGACACATTTTGAGTTATTTCCCTATCGTTAAGTAGATGCTGGCCCACTTAATCGTGTATATAGCATTGTCCCAACCTCCTCTTTGGACCAACACAAAAAATAAATTACAGAACTTAGTTGAAAACCAAATAATCACATTTTTATTATTGTGTCATCGACAAGGTGCTGGCGCCATCGGCAATGTGAATGAGCCCTCGAATATGTGATGGAGCCAACACTATCATTCAATATGTAATAATATGATGGAGTGTAACCATTATTATACGTAACTGATTAACATATACAATTGCATATGCATCGTACCATTTGGTTGACAAATTGGAATACAAAACGTGATTTGATTATTCGAATTCATTAAAATTGAAGTAAAACCTCTGAATAAAATATAAACAGATTAGGCACACAAAAATAGTGTTTTTTACTTTTAGTCAGTAAAGTTTCAGTTTTTAATTTTGAAATTTATGTAAATTTCAGGTAGAATCTCGACATGAATAAGGGCAGGCAAAAAAGATTTTCATGTGATGTGTGCGGAAAGACCTACGCCAATAAGGCAAAAGTTAAATTTCACATCAAAAACTACCATAAGCAGGCGGCGACCAGAACATTATGTGGTATTTGTAATGGGCGGTTCGCAACACCAGCTTCTCTTAAAAGACACGTTGAACGTGTACATACACGGAAAAGGGAACTTATGTGCACGATTGAAGGATGCAATAGTTCATTCTACACAAAGAAAGACTTTAGGTTTATCTTCTGTTCGTCTGTCTGTCTGTCCGTCCATCCGTCAACAAAACTTTCATTAAAGTAAGTCTTAAGCATTTAGCTGTTGAGGGCATCGTTACTTGAACTTAGCTTTACCCTGTTGTTGTTTTTTGTTGTTGTTTTTTTTCCTTTCATATTTAATGAAATTATGAAAATAATTGTATACATGAATATTTCCTCAATATTAATTTGTTGATCAGTTACATATTACCGGTAACACCATATTATCACATATTGAATGATAGTGTTGGCTCCATCACATATTCGAGGGCTCATTCACATTGCCGATGGCGCCAGCACCTTGTCGATGGCTCGATCACAATAATAAAAATGTGATTATTTGGTTTTCAACTAAGTTCTGTAATTTATTTTTTGTGTTGGTCCAAAGAGGAGGTTGGGACAAAGCTATATACACGATTAAGTGGGCCAGCATCTACTTTACGATAGGGAAATAACTCAAAATGTGTCTCTTCGTAAAAGAAAACCCACGAGGTTATATTTGGTAAAAGTTCTAGCAACGTCATTTCAGGGTATTTCTTATCGAAACTGCATCCAACATGATGAGAAAAATGTTCTACGTGGCATGACATTCTTCGATTTTTGAAAAACAAGCATGATCTTTTTAAATTGATATTTTTACTAAAATGTCTTACCTTTTTCAGTCTTGTTTACATCGAGGGCTCTTCAACGGAAGTGTCGATGGCTCTCATTTAAACAGATCACCAAAATGTGAAGGAGCCACCGTTAAGTAGGCGTGTATATACATATAATAATTATATGTAACATTATAATATATAATTATTATATGTATATATTCTTAGTAGATACTTACTGAAAATGTAAGGACTAAATGGAAAGATTTCTAGGAACCAGGGTTCCATCTGGAGCAATTTTAGTTTGTGCCACAAAATTCGCCAGCAGAAAATTTGCTCCAAAGTTGGAGCCAATAATTCTGCAAGGGAAAGATGCCTATCTTTGTTAAAGGTCTGTGGACAAGAAAAGGCATGTTTGTCTGTTTTAAATTTCGATACATAGATTACAATAAACACAATAAAACGGTGTTTTAATATAGACGGTACTTACCGCCGCGATTTTTAACTGACGACGTAGGAATATCCCTTCCTAATTTGAGCCACGTAACGACAAAACCAACATAATGGGTTTGCGACCAGCATGGATCCAGACCAGCCTGCGCATCTGACCAGGATCCATGCTGTTCGCTATCAGTTTCTCTACTTGCTATAGGGTTTGTAAGCGAACAGAATGGATACTGGTCAGATTGTGCGGATGCGCAGGCTGGTCTGAATCCATGCTGGTCGCAAACCCATTATGTTGGTTTAGTCGTGACACGGCTCAATTTTTGTTAACCTTCATGTCAGTCGTGTGTAAAAACGGTGTAACATTATATGTTATTATTATATGTATATATTTTTAGTAGAAACTTAATTAACATGTAAGGACTAAATAGAAGGTAATCTAGGAACAATGGTTTTAGTTTGTGCCACCAAATTCGCCATCAGAAAAAGATGGAGCCAATGGCTCCAAAGTTGGAGTCAATAATTCTGATAGGGAGACATGCCTTTCTAGCAGTTATATATCATTGTGATTACAAACACATATAATATTTATTTTTTATTACAGTAGTTTATTATGTAAAATAGACATATTAATATGTGGATTTCAAATTCCATTTAAATAAATACACATGACAATATTATAAATGTAATCAAAAACATAATTTTAAGTCAGCAATGAGGTTGGGCGGTCCTGTTTTGCCTATAGCAGTTCTTATCTCTTAAGCAGTAAAGATATGGTTATAAATAAAAAAAAACAATCAATAATCACACATAACATATAAATTATTACTGATAAGACTGATACCTGACACATGTTTTCCGTATGCACGATGCTAAGGGAAGATCATTTTTAGCCAAAATATTGGTCCAGACCGGACCGTCCAAGACGGTTTTGTACGTTGGCGCAAGAAAAATTCGCCAATTCAAGATTTTATGCGAAATTTGTATGAAAAATCAGACTGCAATTTATTGAAAAACTATGATTTATATATATATATATATATATATATATATATATATATATATATATATATATATATATATATATATATATATATATATATATATATATATATATACAAAAAATTTTAACAAGTCTGGAAAAAAGTCACATATAAATAAACAAAAAACACAGTCCATGAGTTAACTTATTTAATTATTTGCCAACCGGTTTTTCTCTTATGATCATCAGGGCAAATGTGACGTTCGTCGCATAGTAACGACGACGTTTTTGTGTACACATGTGTACGCATAATCTAAAAATAGTAACGTCATTATATAGTATTTTAGTTTTGATTAAAAACATCAATAAAATAGCGTTCTCTAGATAACCTAGCTGAAACGTTTTTACTGTGAAATTTATAAAATGGGAAAATACAAAATTTCGGGTCTTTTTTAGAGCATTTATCTAAATGCTCACTTAAAAGGTAATTGTCTGGTTGATGGGTCTCTTATCTGCTGAGCATGAACAGTTTTTCTGTTTCTGAGTTTGTCACCTGTTTGGCCTATGTAAAATTCTTTGCAGCCGTTGCAAACTAAAACATATAAAACATTTTCAACAGTACAGTCCATATTTTCTTTTATATGAAATATTTTATCCTGAAGTTTTAAAGAATATCCTTCTATTAAATAATCACAGCTATGTTCGTTGCATTTTTTAACACAGGGCATTATATTGTTTTCTTTAAATTCTGAACTTATTAAAATGCTTTTTAAATTTGGTAATTGTATATATATAAACGGTTTTCCGAAAATCGTACCGCGGTACGAGATTTATTTTTATCGGTAAACCGCGTTACACCCTTATTCTGAAGCATCGATAACTCGTCGTGAATGAACATTTTAAAACATTTCGAACGGGTATTTAATTCAATCAATAATGTTTTATAAAATCAAAAATATTAAATAAATATAAATACAAACATTTTCTAATATCCTCCCTCCGAAATCTAAGATAACTGCATATAAAGCCCTGTGGTCAAATACTAGTAATAATTGACAGTTGAACTTGCAATGTCCGGTTAAAATTGTATTTAATATAGATATAAACTTCATTCTACTCGTATTTGAGTGGTCATCCACTTCTGGCAAAATCGCAATCGCAACTATCGGCCCTTTACGTCAGTCTTCGGATAAGGACCTCGAACACAATAGTATGAATACACAGAACGGATGCGGTAATTCGGTCTAACCTACGCTAAGAAACTATAAACATGCAAACAAATAGTTATTTAATGCTGCGAGTTGTTGACAAGTTTATTTCCAATAAATTTAGTAAAAGTCCACCTAAAATAAGTGAATTCATAGGTACAAAAGCAAACAATACATTATTTATATATTTATTATTATGGTTGTAGAAACCGAAAGTATAAAAAATCAACCTGTTGACATTTAGTCGGACTTGTTTAAAATTGAACATCAGTTGGCATACTTAAATTACAAATTGTTGTCTGACATATTTTCAAGCATAAGAGTACAGGGACAGACATTAGATGTCAAATATATACATTCGTTTGACATTATCTCTGTTTCTGTCTACATCTGAAACCACGTGGTAGAACTACTTTTAATCCGTATTGTTTCCGAGGTTATTATAGATAATAGCCGAGGCTGTTCCGAATGGCAAAATCGCCGAAAACGGCCTTGCCTTTCTAGCATAGTTGTGTACAGGACTGTTAGCGAGTGTATTCATTTTTGTTTTTTGTTTTTTTTGTTTTGTTTTTGAATGCGTGGGGGGGGGGGGGGGGTGGAGTACAACGCATTAAAATAGTCTAGGCCATATGACGACTTTTTAGCTTGAAGGGTGGAGAAAGAATTCAGGTGCACCTTTGCAAAATTGTTCCAAGCACAAATAGGCATCTGAGTACAATCACCGACGTTTCGTGAGCTTTTTTTTATAGAATCGAATGTCATGATCGAAACACTCTTATTTCTGAAAATTACATCAAATTCTCAAATTCAACTGTACTTTGGTCATTATTTATGTTATTAAACATTTAAATATTTTATAAGAAACTTGTTTAAAATTTAATGATTTTTCGGGGGAAATGATATGGTTTAGTTGTACCTCAAATAAGATCAAAGTGCTGAAGGCACTGAAAAAGACTGACAGGAATGCTAAGCTAAACAAGGGACTTTAGGTAACACACTTTCACTCCAGTTTCACAAGTGAATGACTTCTTTCTGTCAGTATATTTACGCCTTGATATACCGTATACTTATGCTTCATTGAGATTTCTGCTTTTGAAAATAATCTAAAGAGTACAATAAACTTACTTTTAAGAGTAAATAACTTAATAAGAAGCATAGTGACCCCCGATATTTCTTTCATAAATTTGCTTTTTATGTATTATATAAAACTTGTAATACTGATATTAACAGACATAACTATGTATAGAATGGCTATTTTATGTATTTTGATACATTAAATATGTTTTAACAATGAAATATTGTATATATTCATCATATTAAAATGAGACTGTTATAAAGAATAAGATAAATATATTCTGTATTATAACCGAGGTGATACGATTGGCCATTTTACATGTATAATGTATAAAAGTTACAAATAAAGAATATATCGAGATATTGTTTGTACATTGTATTTGTATACATTTGTGTCATTCATCCTAAATTACTAAAAATAATTCAGATAACCTGCGTTAGCAACGTATTTGATGGTTATTTAATCAATGTAAAGAAGAAAATAGATTGTGTATAATGTTATGTTGTATGAAGTTATTCAATATTGGACACGTAATCGTTTATGTATCCAATACTGTAGTTATATGATAAAGAAGCGTTCCGTTTTGTTATAATGGTACGGTAAGACACAAATAGAGAATTTTTTTATAGTTACATGTATTTTTGTGCACATAATGACTAATAAGTCTATCAGCCTCTGCTACCAGAATATTCTGATGTTTACACACTACTTGTACAAGATAGATCATCTACCCACCCCACCACTAACAAAATCTGAATAATTATTATTGATTCCGTGCGAATATATATAGTGAGAAAATATTGTACCTTTTTGCAAATTATAGGGATAAAATCTTAAAATGAAACATAGACTCTGACATCATATTTATTCTACAGACAATTATCAAGTATATAAATATATAAAATAAAGATAGACCTAACATTTAAATAAATTATAAATAAATATTATATTCGGAACGTTACATGCTTCACAGAAATCTTATATTAACCATTGAGATTTCAACGTTAAAAACCACAGCATAACCAAGGTCTTTGAAGAATTTGGCTCCTCCTAGATTTCGTTCCCTGCTAAATGATCTAAAACCGTAATCGTAAAGTTTTCTGAATACCCTTAACTGTCTTATCTTTTCGTATCTCATTTCCTTGTCAAAATGAAATTCGACGAGAAGTTGGCGGACATTTGCAAGCGTTCCTGACGTCATCATTTCTTCAAAGGCAGACCACTCTGATCCTTCTACGTCAACTTTTAATAAATCAAGCGTCCTCTGTAAGATATGATGTACAAGATGGTTATTCAAAGTCTTCAAAAAAGTTGTCGTAAAATTCAAATTCAGAATAACCACCGGAGCATTTACGGGACAATCTTTGTTTACATTTTGATACTATATAATGACAAAGTATTACACAATTAAAGCTACTTTCTTCCGGCAATACTCATGCTCTTAAACCATTACTCTAACATTATAAAATTCATGTTTGCTCTTTCTAAAAAAAAGTATTTACTCGTTTCTTAATGTTCGTGAAGTTAGCCAGACAGCCGGAGCAGCCGGAACAGCCGGAACAAAACTTTGTCTCGTCTGGCTGTTCCGGCTACTCCGGCTAGCCGGAATCCGTTTCCGGCTGAATCGGCTAGCCAGAGAATAGACAGTAAAACCTGTGCAATAGACAATTGGTAAATTTCATAATGTAGTTTCAAATTATTTATCACCTCGATCTCTGGCTATTCCGGCTGGCCAGAATAACCAAAATAAAGGCAATTAAAGATGAAAAAATAATCCATGAACAATTTTTTGAATATTTGTGTCGTGCAAAGTATGACCACGGGCCCGCTGGCAAAGGTTCGCCGTCGGGAATGCTGTAGCATTTTGCCGACGTTGAGCCGAAAATCGAACTATACATGGTCATTTCAACTCATATCTGGCCATTTCCGGCTAACCCCTGTCAGGCTCAGCCTCAATTGCACAGAACCCCATATGGTGGGGTGGTTAGGGAGTATAACCGTGTCCGCTGACAAAGGTGTGTCCGTCGGGAATACTTTGGTATTTTGCCGACGTTGAGCCGAAAATCGTACTTTACATGGTAATTTCAACTCATATATGGCCGTTTCCGCCTGACCCCTTTGAGGCCCGGCCTCAATTGCACAGAACGCCATAGGGAGTTTAACCGTGTGTCCGCTGGCAAAGGTGTGTCGGTCGGGACTACTTGGTATTTTGCCGACGTTGAGCCGAAAATCGTACTATACATGGTCATTTCAACTCATATCTGGCCATTTCCGGCTGACCCCTGTGAGGCCCGGTCTCAATTGCACAGAACCACAGATGGTGGGAAGGTTAGAGAATTTAACCGTGTGACCGCTGGCAAAGGTGTGTCCGTCGGAAATGCTGTAGCATTTTGCCGACATTGAGCCGAAGATCGTGCTATAAATGGTCATTTCAACTCATATCTCGCCTATTTCGGCTGACCCCTGTGAGGTCCAGCCTCAGTTTCGCAGAATCTCATATATTTGGATGGTTAGGGGGACCGTGTGTTCGCTGGTTTATTTGTGTCTGCCAAAAATACTCTGGTATTTTGCTACGTTTAGCCAAATATCAAAATATAAATGATCATTTTAGCTCATATTTTAACATTTTCCTTAAATGTCCCCTGTGATACCCAGAACAAATTCCACAGAATGCGGGGTTTTTATAGGGCTTACTGTGTGTTCGCGGGTATAGGTGTGTCCGTCAGGATGACTCTGGTATTTTGCCGACTTTGAGTCAAAAATCGTACAATACATGGTCATTTCAGCTCATATCTTGCCATTTCCGGCTGACCCCATTTCCTTATGATCCCAAGGTTCAGTTCAACAGAAACCCATAAACTTTTATTCTTAGGTACGAAAGACCAGTGGGGACATTTCAACTACATGAATTTCCGATTATATCTTCGTGAATTCACGAATTCAACTTTGTGAGTTAACGTTTTCAACATACGGAAATCACGGAAAATACGATTTAAACTTCAGGAATTCACAACTTCAACTTCGTGAATTCACGATTTCAACTGCACGAGTTCATGATTTTAAATGCATGCTATCCTTAAAATAACAAAGAGTTATTTCTGATGATAGTTTTTTAATGTTTTTCTGCGGATGTAGAGTGTAGGTAAAGTGAATTAACGGTTTCAACTTTAGATGAATCCTACATTTCTTTTTAGATAGTGGTATGTTTTAAGTCATTTACATGAAAGAAGTATGTGGCCAAATAACTATCAGCACAGTCAATGCCCCAATTATTTTTATACAATTATATAGCATGCTCAACTTACTTATTGTGGTAAATCATATTTTCTGTTATTCACTATCAAGACATCCAACTGAAACTGTATATGGTAAATGTCTGTAAATTCAAAGGCTTGTTATTTATTAGATTCTGGAGAGGGCGGGGTGTTGACATTTAACAGTCAGTATATGTTTAGGTAAAGAATATCAGTGATAATGAGTCTTGCTGTAAGATGAAGTTACAAACTTTTAAAATGAAATCAAATACATGCACGATGTTATTCTGTATATTTTCAGCTGATCTTGTTAACCTTCTCTGTTAAGCTTTTTTTCCTATAATTAATTGCTAATTTTCATTTTTTAATATGATCAATAAAAATCATTACAGGCATATATTAAACGTGTACTTTGTTATTTGTGTAATTTTTCAATAACTATTTTTCAGTTATTTGTTACAATTTCGTCGAAGTGAAGAGCACCATGAAAAAACTAAAAAGGAAAAATCAAGAATACAAAATCGATTTTTTTCAGAATTAAGAAGAATTCAAACGATGTTATAAAGAGGACAGAAAGGGGGTGGGGTGGAGATAAACTAAGGTAAAAACCCTTAATTAAGACAAACATCGTGACTGAACCAAAGTGGTCGTAATTCAGGGTTGGTCTTAATTGTGGATATTCTAAGCATTGCTTGAATACTTTAGGAACATGACTTTATAACCTACAAATACAATATTAAAGTATGTTATAATATTTAATCTGATAAGAGCTAAACAAATTTCTGAAGAAAAGCTAATACTTTATACCACCATCGGGACTGGACCAAAGTGGTCTTAATTGCGGGGTGGTCTTAATTGTGAATATTCTTATCATTTCTTACATACTAGACAATGGTCTATTTTAGTCATTTGTTTGAACAAAACATATGTATCTTAACCTGCAAATAAATTAAAAAGTTTATAATGTTACATCTGATGAGAAGAAAACATATTTCTGAAGAAACTAAATATCAAATTCTATTTAGCCTGATTTCAATAATAATTATTATATGATGTACAAAATTCATTCATCAAATAAAAAAATAAATTCTTCGAAAAATCGATATGCTTCAAGCAACATTAAACCACTTTTAAATCTACTTTCTCATCTTATTTCATAGAAGAAGAAGAAGAAGAAGAATGATTTTATTTTCAACTTGTACACAACATATGGTACATCGTTGTACAATATACATTTACAAAATACATGGCATATGGTCACTATGATTGACAATGTTAACATTCTGTATTAGCAATCAATAATGTTTAAGTAAAGTTTATATCTATTAGAGACTAAATAAGTATGTGTATGTTCTTAAGACATTACCTTAGAAAATATGTACTTAAGTATTCATCTTAGAAAAAGAAAAGTCAAATTTGAAAATTAACTTAAGTAAAGTGAACAAATACTTTCTATCAATTGAACAATCATACAAGTTAGAATAAAATTAACACCTGTTCTAGAAGTTTTTCTTTTAAACTGATTACATCAAATATTATTTTTGGCAGTAAAGAAAAACAATTTATAAAAAGTACTATTGGAGAACGAACGGAATATCATATAGTCCTTGATAATATGGACATGTCCTCAGCATCTGTTTTTCAATCAAAAGTTATACATGATTAAGTAAAGTAAACATTGTGCATGTGTATGCCATAAAAATATTACTTTTGGTGTTTATTGAGAAAAAGACAACAATCTATAGGAAATTACTATTGTAGCATCGACCACAGATATATTGTCGGATCAGGCCGTGACAAAAAAAAAAAAAAAAAAAAAAAAAAAAAAAACACAACGATTTATAGTTGATATTGCTTATCACTTTAGAAACGTATATATTCAAACTTTAAAATAAAACTGCATTATTACTGTATTGTATAAAGCAGCTCTGTGCGAATACGACTCGCTTGGTAAATATATTTCGCCAGGTTTCTGGTGATAACTTTATTTTTAGCAGATACTAATAGTATGAATTTGTGCATATTTTGGCGCCTGTAAAAATATTGTTTAATGTATTTATGACGCAAGGTTTCATAGGCTTTGCAAATTATAGTGAAGTGGTATTCATCCTCAATTTCTTGAGAATCACAAAGCTGACAAACTCGCTCGGACCGTTCTATGCGATTTCGACCGTGCCTACCAGTTTCAATGCGCGGCCTATGTGCCGATATGCGTATTCTTGTCAAAGACTGACGTAAATACTTAGAGTTTATTACATTAAGATAGTCACTCGTGACGAACTCATCTTTTAGGTATACATATAAAGTGTTCAGAACATTATTTGCTTGCAAATCAGCTCGCCAGCTCTGTACGTAACAGTCAAATAGCCGTTGTCTAAATAAAGGTAAAAAGAGTTTGGCATCTACGTTATCTTGATTTTCCCAAACGTCAGAAAACCCATACTGATCGAGTAATATCTTAACTCTACCGGCCCAACTTACTGTATTACTATTTAGGCATCTTTTCAACGATTCGTCATATACACGTTTAATTATAATGTTATCTGTCGTTAGAATTTGTAACCAATACTTAATAATCTGATAATATCTTGTAATATGCAGCGGATACCGCGCTAGTTCCCCATATACGGCTGCATTACTAGTACTTTGTTTGACTCCCAAGATTGACTTGCAAAACCTCAAGTGCACGCGTTCTATTTCCTTTGTTTTCGAGAAACCCCAAATCGGACAGGCATAGTTTAAGATCGCACCGACAAATGCATCAAAAAATTTCATAGTTAACGATGGGTTTAATTCATATTTATTGATATTGTTTAAAAGTATGTTTGAAGCTTTAATCGCCTTTCCAATAACGTACTGATTATGCAAAGCGAATGAACCGGTATAATTAAACACGACCCCCAAGTAATTAAAATCATTTACTACTTCAAGAGGTTGGTTGTTATAATACCAGCGCTCTTCTTGCTTAACAGGACCCCTTTTACGGAACACTACGACTTTGGCTTTTATT